TTTTTCTGGGTGATTTTCTAAAGGTACGTGACCTGAATGCATGAGCGAATCTTGCTGTTTAAACAGAATTCGAGAGGTTCCACAATATCCTGACAAGCCCTAGCCTTGCATAGCCCCATGCTAGTTTTCTATTCTAGGATTCAATTGATTTGCGATGCATTCGACTATTTATGTGAGTTTTTGACAACCCGCAGTATTCGGGATCTGTTTGGCACTCGGCCAGGTGGCGAAATGCCGGGTACGGACCAGGACAGCACAGAGCAGCGAAGGAAACGGAGGATGTGTTTGGTGTTCTAGCCCTGGTGAGTTGTCGGTTGTCGTATGTTGCCGTTGAAGATGGAGGTGCAGTACTTTGCGGAAAACCCGCCTGGCTCTCGAAGAACCTTTTGGCGAGGCTGTGATTGTTTTTGGGGTAAGCAGCATGGCAAGATTCTGCCAGGAACCCTGTTGTTGTTGTTGTTGTCGTTGTCGTCGTGGTCGTCGTCGTCGTGGTTGTTGTTGTTGTTGGTAGAGACAAAAACAGCCGCCCAACATAGTTGTCACATGTTGCAAGTCAGGGATTTCAATGGGATTCTGTTAGGGATAGGGTCGAAGGTTTGGAGAGATGTTAGTAGCTGGACTTCTTGTTGTTGTAGTACTCGAGTCTTGGTTGGTCTGCTTCTTGTTTTTTGTTGTGTTGTGTGGGGGGGGGTCAAAAAACAACAACGGGGTTGCAGATTTTGTTTCTAGGGGGGGTAGAGACAACAACATCTTTTGGAAGGGGGGGGTCCAAAAAACAACCACGGGGTTGCAGTTTTTGTTTCTAGGATGTGGTAGAGGTTCTAAGTAGAAGTTTTACAGGGTTTACTTAACCAGTTACAATAAGCATCACCAGTAGCATGACCCTCAGAGGAGTTTCATAGACCCTAAGAAGGCGATTAAATCGACCATATTGTTCCATTGGAATCCAAAAACTTCCAGGAGTCTCCAAGAAAAAATGATTTTCAGTGCATAGATTGAGAACCGGGTTTCCACCCCCTCCGCCTCCGCACACGCCCCGCGCACTGTCCACACGTCCCGGGGTGGGGGGTGTCTACCACTAGTAGTAGTAGCACTAGTACCACTAGTAGTAGTAGCAGTAAAGTGCTTGTTGTTTGGTTGTTTTTTTTGGGGGGGGTCAAAAACAACGACGGGGTTGCAGAATTTGTTTCTACCCCAGTAGAGAAAAAGAAAGAAGATGTGGTGTAACGGGGTTGCAGTTTTTGTTTGTACCTTCTTGTTGTTGTTGTTGTTGTTGTTGTTGTTGTTGTTGTTGTTGTTGTTGTTGTTGTTTCGCTGTTGTTGGCATTGCGATGGCCGCTCTTACACCAGCCCTTCGACAATCAAAGGGACAACATGCGCAGCAATGCTACCCACACAAAGTCACACAAATACATTACTGACTGGTGCTTTGTTAGGGTCCAGGTCAGGCCTTCATTTCTTACTCTGCACTCATGCGACGTGTGCTTGATTGATGTACTGAGGAGACATGCTGTCATACCGGATGGGCAATGGTCGATCCCTTCTCACCAGGTGGTGCTGTGGATTTGTGCAGCAATAAGTCCCCATGGACGTTTTTAGGGGTCTCATAGGTCCCGGCATAATGAAATTGTTTTTTATGTTTGATCAACTGGTAGCTTCAAGTTCTGACAAGGATTCCCGACGCACTTCTTCAGATGCAAAACCCAAAGGACCCAAACCTACTGGGATTCTGGAAACCTTTCCCACAACTGTGGGAACAATCACTGACTCTCATGACTCTCATGTTCAGACAGCGCCAAGCGGCGCGTTTGTTTTTTTGCAGGACGCGCGAAGGGTCGAGGCACCGAATCGATTCCGACGAAAGCGGTTCGAGTCAGTTGTGTACCAAGTGTGTTGCATCCTTCTTGACAAGTCAACGGAACTGTTCTGCATCCAGCAAATCATATCGCTCCAATCTAACCACGAGTGTGAAAGAACTTGGAAGGACACCGAAGGGGTCAGATAAATTTGAGAGCTGGAGCTGCCGGGGGTGCATTTTTTGAGACTAGAACTGCAGGGATTAAGACTGATTCCCATGAGGCTGACGTTTTTGACCTTATTCCTTCCTTCCTGTTAGGAAATGCAGAAACCATGTCCGACCATGTCGGGTTAGAAGGTTGGGATTGAGCTTTCTGGTCAGCCAAGCTTCAGCGCAGGCCTTCCACCCAAGCAGAGGTTCTGTGCCACCTACCCCAACGTGTCACGCTGCCGCCGGGTACCTGGTGCAGTGTCACGCTATGTTGCTTGCGCAGACTCGGCCAGTTTTGGAAAGATCTGGATGGTTGGCATCTTGAAATGATACATGATATACTTTCACAAAAAGGAAGGACAAAACCCGGGTCTAGGTAAAATGGACTTCTAGAACTTAGCTCCACAGAAAGCCAGGCTAAGTGGCTAAGCTTCCCTTCGTCAAAACCACTTGCAAGATGGTTCTCCTGATGGTGAGACACTTTTTGAGCTACCAGAGGATCCCGCGGAAGTATTTCTCATTCACACCTTGTCCAACTGACGTTCTCTCCGACACGTTGCTTTTTGGCCCTTTTCACGGTCCTGGAAGATGTATGGATATGTATGGCATTGCTCTATGGTATTGCTTTGGACACTCAGGACACGTCGTTTTCTGCGCCTGTCGGTCCCGACGTCAGGTCATGGCGCCCATTGTGCCTTCGCACATTCTCGGGAGGAGGCGGAACTGAGCAGCAACGGGGGAGTGCTGGGAGGATGCTGCACACCAGGAGAGAATGATTTTTGGACGCAACCGGAGAGGAGATCGAACGAGGGTCCGATGCGCTCCTTTGTGAACATGTTCTCATTCACACGGACACTGGTGTTCTCGCACATTGCACTGTACACCGTACCTTACCTTTTCGGGCAAATATGTATGTATGCGGATGTATGCGGGGTTTATGCAGGACTTCGACATGAGTGCCCTTGATGCTACAGCTTGAGAGGTCACTTCTCTCCAGCATGGTTTCCGGACCTGCCATTCTCGCCCTTTGGTGCCTAGCCGTCAGGTCACCGCCCCGTTGCTGACGCCGGAAGAGGAAGCTACACTTCCGGAGGCCCTGACGGCACCTTGGAGATTGGAGGGGGCATGGTGGGAAGATTTGGAAAGATGGGCGAGGCAAGTATTTGGATCAGGTGAGAACGCTTGAGCCGGGTTGAGCATAGGAAAGTCCTGCACACGGCACACGGTCGAATCGAAAGAGAGGGATCCCAACAACTTCGGCGGCGCTTTGCCCAGGGTGGTTGAAAAGGTAACAATGGCAAGGCCACAATTGTCTTTTTCCCATTCTACGAAGGATGCTCCTCGAAGACATCCGCTCCCCCACAGTAGATGGGTTCGTGCTTTTCACCACCTGAGTTCACTGCTTTCCGGATCTGATGAGCCTTAACTCCCAAGCGATGTGTCTACAGATGCTTGCGCTTGTTCCGTGCTGCTAATGATTAAATGCTGTGTGCAAGCACCTTTTGCATACAGGATGAAGAAAACACACCCATAGAACAAACATTGGCTGTGATGAAGCCGTTTTGACGGCTCCTTAGGTGGCCTTTTTCACTGAGAAGTTCAAGACCATGTGGCACCTCCGGCTCGTGGCTTTTGCAGACTCAGTGGGTAGATCCGTGCCAACCAACCTAAACCGTTATCACCTGTGGTTCGTTTCTTACGAGTGAAACGTTTGTCTCCCAGAAACTGAGTGTTGGTGTCCACCGGAAGCACCATGTCAGCCATGTCAGCATGTGGCATTTTCCCGGTGGGTCTTCCACAGATCACGCGTGGCAACCAGAAAGTGAGAGTGGATCTAGGGGAATCAGAATGTAGAGAGGCCCGCCACTGGTTTACTTAGTTTGCTTGTGTTCCTTTTCTGGTTGTTTTGTTTTTTTTGCTGGGCCGCCGCTCCTGTACTACACACCCAAAGTGCTGAACGTGTTTCCAACATTTGCAGTCGAAATGGTTCATAACTTCCTTCCTGACATTCACGTGGATTTTCGGGTGAGGTGCCCGATTGGTGCGCAGCATGACTGGCAAAACTGTATGTATGCCCGGGCACCTAGACCTACCCTGGGATGGGCTGAGCCTCGTGAGTGACATGGGCTGAGCCTTCCAATATATAAAGCTGGCATAGACTAGCCTAGCTGGGTCCAGCCGACTCCAGCCATAGGAAACACACTTGCCGCAAACAATGAATTTTGCAACCTTGGTGTTGGATTTGTTCCTCGTGGTTTTGAAATACAAGTTCATGATATCCGGAGATGAGGTTCCAGCTACCACATGTTACCACTTCATGGCTAGAAGTTGCTTGGATCAGTGGATGTCAGTGGCTACCATAAACTGAGTGAGGACTTGGCTGAAGCGGCTGAGTCTGAGTGAATTTTGGCTGCCGGGTTCTGGGGCTGCGGCACTGACTAAAAACCAGGTGAGCAGCTACAGGTGCCAGGATGATTCCTCATGGGCTACAACCTGACTCTCTTCAACTTCATTGGCCGGTTCTCATCGGTTTGTGAGGGTTTGGAACGATGTTTGGCTCAGCTCCTATCCGATGCTGTTTCCCCAGATCGACGCTGTTGCGCTTTTGGCTCATCCTCGTTGGCTTCGACTCTTCGATTCTTGCCTCCTTTTGCTGTGCCGTTCATGTTTCCTTCGCTTTTGAGGGGCATTTACACAATTGCGACGGCTAGAGTGGCTCACTCCTTTTACTTTCATGATTTCTTGAAATTCGAATTCTCATTTGCCGGCAAGCTTCGATCTACCATCTCGGGCAGTACTGTTCTTGGCTTTTGCTTTCAGTTCTGATTCCGTGCTGATGTGTCCCTAGTCACAAAACATGATTTATCAAGCAAACATCTACCAGCACCAGGACCCTGAAAAGATGCCGTTCCAGTGTCAAACGGTAGGACTGATTGTGTGTGTAGTTTTGCCCTTGGTTCAAGACAGCAGCATACAAGACGAGTCCTGATAAATGTCGGAATTCAAGTTAGCTGTCGATGAGAAGAACAAGGCCACAGAGCTGCCATTGCGGCGAGTTTGGGGCACTGCGAGTGCCAACCCACATATGCGAGCCTTTTGGGGCGCTACATTGTCCTTTTTTCTGGCCTTCTTAGGTTGGTTTGCCTTAGCTCCTTTGGGTCTGGAAGCCTGGCTTTGCTTATAAGGTGATGATGTTTGTATTATGCCGATGAGTTTTCCCTCATGGTTTGCCTCACCTGTTCACCGGTTCGGGTTCCGGTTGATCACTCCGGCAGGAAGTGGCAGCAAGCTTGGGAACCTGTGAGAATCTCATGTACCCACCGGAGAGCCACCCGAAGCGGCTGGCATACCTGAAGTACACGAACCTCACTTCTGGCGACCAATACTGCCAATATGGGCTGATCCCTGACGATGTGAAGCCTTCGGATTGTGCCGAAGTACCAGTGCCTTCGGTGGCAGGTGCCAGCACGGAGAACAAGAAGTATCGGCCAGAAGTATTGGCCAAGTGCCTTGGGAGTGGTCAAGATGAGGGTTGTTCGTTGGGAATTGCCTCAGCCTTAACAGTGGAGCAGCTCTATCACAAATCTTGAGTAGTAAAGGCCATCATTCACCACCATCCATTGTTTCAGAGTGAGAGTCGAGCCAACTGGCTTGGTGCTTTCCCTGTGGGGCCATAAAAATGCCCATCTCAGGCGGAGCATACTTATAATATACATTGCGTAGATTTATAATATAGATAATTGATAATTGTATATATATATTATATGTGTGTGTAGCGCGTATAAAATATACAGTATAGCCAATGTTTTTCCGCTCCTTCAGTGGATTCAGCATCTCAGGTGTGTTTGCACTACGGGAACGGAATGCAATCGCATCATCGCCAATGCCGGAGTTGCTGCGGTCGCCTCAACGATGTTCGTGCGCATTGCATTGGGGACACTGTTGGAGAGGTTTGGCCCCGTGAATGTGCAGGCCAGGCGCCCAGCATGTTCGGCGGTGTTGTTCGCCATCCAAAGAGAACAGATGGCTGGGTCGCATCGACAGGGCTGGAGATGTAATTAGCCCGGTGTGGGGTTCAGGCTGCAGGTAGACGATGAGTCCAGATGTGACCCAAAAAGTACCTATCAACTCGGGTTTTCATCCACACATAGCAGCGGTCAAGGGAACACCGAATCCAGAACAAGGAGAACTTTTTGGAGTACTCAATGGGTACTCCCATTTGGTCAGGTGCAGTTTGCCCGAGCGATCACTGAGGCAGGCCTTTTGACGTTTGGAGCCCTTTGGGTCGCCTTGTCTGCCCTCATCCAAGAAGTTTGGCAATACACTGTGATCCGATTCTTCATTGGGTTTGTTGGGGCCACCTTCGTGACCAACCAGTTCTGGTGCTCCTTGATGTTTTCTCAAAGCATCGTGGGCACGGCGAATGCTACAGCAGCAGGTTGGGGAAACTTAGGTGGTGGCGTCACACAAATCTTCATGATTTCTGTGCTATTCGACCCCATGGTGAACAGCGGCCTGACGGCTGACACGGCTTGGCGCGTGTCGATGACCATCCCTGCAATCCTGTTCCTTCTTTGCGCTGCGGCCTTGAAGCTCTTATGTTGGGACATGCCAACAGCCAAACACATTGATGTGGCCACCATCGGCAAGACCAGGCAACCCTCATTGTGGGACTATGTTGAGGTGCTGAAGGATGTGAGGGTGCTGGTGATGATCTTCCAATATTCGGCATGCTTTGGCGCAGAGCTAGCCACTTGGACTTGATGACCCTGACAAGGCAGCAAGGAGAAGCCTTGCTTTGTCAGAAGCCATGCTGAAATATCTGAAATCAACAACTCCCAAGACCCATTGAGACTGCAATTCCCCATCAGTGTTGAAAGGAGAGATACTCTCCCTGGAACTAACATGGAAGTGGATCGGACAACCACCTGTTTGTAGTGGAAAATTGTCTTTTAAGGGACCATTCTCCACTTCCATATTAGTTCCAGGGAGTGTACTTGGTTGGTTGCAGTTCTCTCAACCGTATGGCCTCCACAAATCTGGCTTATGGCAAGCGATTCGAAAAGGACATTTTTTACCATGGTGGCTGGGCGACTTTGAACAGAAGAACACACAAACCGCGGTGTCTCATAGTTTTTCACAACTTTTTTTTCGTGGAATTGCTGAGCATTCTTAGTTCCTGCTAATGTGGTCCAACATTTTGCGTGGAGATCTTGCGATCGGCTCCAACGAGATGCTGCCGGATGCTCAGCTGAGGCCATGAACAACCAGCTGGCCACACATTTCAGGACCTATTTCCAGATGCCTGCAGCTGATGCTTCAGCCTTGGCCGGAGCTTTTGGGTTGATGAACCTTTTTGCCAGATCTTTAGGCCTGGTCAACTGTTCAGTCGCCCTTGCCGCCTGCTAAATCGGGTAGTAGGCCTTTAAGGTGCCAGTCAAGGCTGCAGCCTTTGACACAGAATGAGGTTTCCACGCGAAGTGACCGATGGGCATGTAGTAGGTATGTTACAGTCGGATGGTGTTCGCGTCCCTATTGGCTGGCGGAACTGCGGTGCCACAATAAAGTGATCTAAAGTGGCTGGTTTGATTTGATTGGGGGCGCATTTACTACATATATGTCTCCATCATAATTTTTATCAGAGAGGGAGAGAGGAGGGATGTTTGAATGCCTCCCAGACCGGATCCCTTTTCACAGCCCTTAAAAGATCTCAGCAGCCCCAATAGTATATGTATTTTTATATGCACGTATATACACAAAGCACCAATTAGTCGAGTGACTCCGCTGTTGTTGTTGTTGTTGTTGCCACTGTTGTTGTTAAATTCGAGAAAAGCTGCTCAGAGGTGGCATCAGCAGTGACCTCTTCAAGCATGTGGGTTTCCGAGGCCGAATATGGGCACAATTCTTAACTCTCTTCTTCGAGGCAATTTTTCTCTTCATTTTTGGCCTCGTGGATAACTCACAACCCTGGTATGTTGCGCTGGTGGTCCAAATTTGCTTCTCCTTGTTCGTGCAGATGGCGGAAGGGACCAGTTATGGCATCGTGCCTTTTATGAACAAAGAGCAGCTGGCTGTGGTCTCTGCACTTGTAGGTGCAGGTGGCAACCTGGGAGCTGTGATTGCGGGCTTTTGCTTTTATCAGCCCATCCATCACCCATTGCTTCCCTTCCAAGTGCATGCTGGCTATGTGATGTTCTGGGCGTTGCTGACCCCCTGCTACTATTGGGCTGAGCATGGCGGCATGTTCCACAAGCCGGCGCCAGTAACCGTGGCAGTTGAGAAGAGGAGTTGTCCAGAGAACGATGAGAAGCCTCAAGATGAAACTTCAGAGTTCTCTCTATAACTTTCATGGTGAGCTGTGGCCTTTTCCCACGTGGCTGTGGCCTAGCCCAATGAACAGTTTCACCTGAAGTTCTTCAGGTAGAAACGGTTCCATCATGTTCAATGGTTTAGAGTCTATATATAGGTGCTGTTTTGATGGCCCAGTGGCGCTGCTTCCAAAGGAAAGCGCAGAGGCATCCTCGGATGCACATCGTGAAAAGCAAAGGTGGATCAGCAGCGGCGGTTGGTCGATTGAAGACTCTTTTCTATTTGGTATTCGGTATAGATGATGCAATCTGAAAGTTCAACAGTTGGAGCCTGGATTTTCCACGCCTCCAGCTCTTTTAACTTGTATAGCCCCTGTTTATTTGTCCTCCCTTCTGAGGCGCATACCTACCAAGACGTGCCAGGGCCTCAGTTTGGCAGTGAGATCCAAAGCAGCCCTTACAGGTCCGCTTTCTTAGCATGGTAGGTTGTATGGTGTAAACACGTCATAAGCCCTCATGGAGGGATCCATGTTTGGGTGAATCGGTGATGGACAGGGGCAGAGGGACAGACCTAAATGGTTCAAGTAAGTCAGCGTTCATAGTCTTTGAGAATCTGCTTGTCATGGCATTTTGGAGGGTTTTCCGGGATGGGATGAGTGAATTGCTTAGATTTGAAGACATGTTTGCTTGGCGATTTGAGATGGGCAAGCAGGGGTCAGGAAGACAGGCGAATGAAACCAACACGTGTTGCAGGGATGCAACATGGTGCAACGAAGCTGGTGGAATTTGAAGTTTAAGTCATTACAGTAGTTAATGTTTGCACTAGTAGGGTGGAGGTCATCGCTAGTAGGTTGGACGCCATTTTTGATTCCGGATTTTGCAAGGTTTATTCTACGATTCGGCCATCCAGGCGCCGTCCACCGGTGCTGGGCTACGGCCATCAGCTGTGTCCCTACTGGAACAAGAAGGCGCCAGGAAGTTGGGAGGTGTACTAGGAGGTCGACGTTCTGGCAACAAATAATGAGCCGGAAGCATGGATCCAAGCCCTATCCCAATACATGGGAGGTACCATATCTAGATCGTTTTGGGAGTTTGCCAGGTCAAATGGCAGCTGGCTCCTGGATGGTGGAACATGGTGGAAAATATTAGGATTTTTGTGCAGGGAAGACATCCATCACACACACACAAGGTCTCAAGTGACTCACGCTTTTTTCTACACATTTTCTTCTGAGCGGGAGGAGGAGTTCATCCCGTTTGGATGTGTCGTTTGGATGGCGCTTCCACTCGCGCTCGGACCACGAGTGGTTCCGACCCGCAAAAAGCGGCTTCACGAGACGTGCGACGTGAGACATGTGGTTCCCAAACTTGAAAACCGCACAGTCGACCGATGGGTCAAGGGTTGACCCCTAACAAAAGAACTAGTAAGAACAACACAGTTTGAAAGCGTCATGATCCACTGCTTTATAGCTTGATTGAATATTGAAGCAGATTTAGCTGATTGAACCAACCGAGGAGGTTGCGCATGTTGCGCTGAAACCAGATTCTACATCGGAGTGGGTTGAGCCAGTTAAGCAACAGCTGCCGCATTTTCACAGCAACAGTCTCCTGGGGTGGGTCTCACGCTTTGTCGAATTGCGCATGTGTAGACCTTGGGATAGGTCCGGGATAGGCCATGGGGTCGACTCGGGAGAAGGAGTTTTCCCGCAGTTTTGTGAATCAGTCATGGTTTGTCATCAAGAGGGGACTAGAGCAAGCTCACATCCACCAGCTGGTTTGCCCCTTTTGGATGCCTTCTCCGCCCCTGCCGTTGAGCATTGCTTTTGCTGCATCGAGCGCAATCACGCACTTTTGACGGCAGAGGATGATCACTTTAACAGGTTCCTAGAATGAACACCTTTAAACTTGAAACCTCTAGGATATATTGAGTTAAACATGCTAGCAAATGATGTTGACAACATCTTGAAAACGAGATGGGGCTTCCGAACTCTGTGCTTCGGATGCGTTGTTCCAGGAGAAGTGAGTGTTTGACACCTAGCCACCGATTGCGGTCCGCACAGTCCTCTTTTGCTTGCAGCTTGACTCTGTGTCCGCGGCTGGTGCACCTTTTTGCCGCTTCATGTCGAGGAAGCGCCCGGCGGCGGAAATGGGAGGAGTCAGCAGCTTGCCCGTGGGCTTTGTTGGCTTAGGTGCCTTGCCTGCGGATGAGCATGGATGAGCACTTCAAGAGCTTGGGAGGTGGCGATGCCTGACATTGCTAGGATGTATTGTCATGTATTTTCACTGGCCTACCTTTTTGAGACCGGTTCTGTTGATGCAAGATGTGGGAAGAAGTGTTGGAAGATTAGGTCATAAGGAGCAGCAAGAGTTCCCAGTTGTTTTTGCCCGTGGTGCACCATAGTGTCAAATGGGCGCATATGGGACTACTACGGAGACCCTTCCATGGATGGCGTACTACTTCCAGTGGTTCGACCTAGGTTTTAATACACACTTGCATGAATTCGTTCATCTTGGCAGACAAATGACTTGGCGAATCCACCCGGCCCCGCGGCACCAGATTTCCGTTTCCAAGTCAGAACAAACTGAAGGACCTACCGGCAGAAACTATTCCTAAAACACACCGCACACGGAAGTGATGAAAAGGTTGGATTCAGAAGAGGTAGCTAAATTCTCGTTGCAATTGTCGCTGTTGTCATTGCTCGTGGCACATCCATTCAATGGGTTGCATGCTGATGAATCAGTACGATGATATTGAGCCTTGCAATAACATATTTGCGTCGCCCCTCCCAATCAATTATTTTGTTTCTCAGCCTGTTGTTGTTCAACTGGAGTCACTTGAAGTTCTTGAAATCTTCCTCCCGGCGTCATTTGATGCACTAGGCTCGATGGGCTACCACATGGCTGGGCACATGGCCAAGGCCCACTCCAGGTGTACGGTTTGGAGCCTTTGAGATGAAAGGCCAGAGGGGATGGAACCTAGGATCCCCCACGTGTTCAACGCCAATTCCAGACTGCCACCATTGAGCGGACTTCGCGAAGTTTTTCGGCACATACCACCACTCTCTCTCTCTCTCTCCCTCTCTCTCTTTGTCTTTATATATTATATATAGGCACTAAATAAGATAAATAAGAATGGGTTAGAACGAGATCCCGCGGTACTACATTATTGATTGACGACTGCTTGTGAGGGAATGTAAAGATATCCTGAGCTTTCACACCATACTCCGTTCGTTTTAAGCGTGGTTCGCAGACAGTTGAATCAGTTGAAGTTCGATCTGATCTTGGGGTACCACTTGCGTACATAGTCGGCCTGCGAGAATCTTCCTGCGGAGCTGGTACTTAGCCAGCACTGCCCAAGGAACCGCACCCAGATGAAGGCCGCCCAGCACTCCAAAGAGTTTGGCTCTGTGCATGCGGAGAAGTTGGAAGAGCTGAAGTCCAGACGTTTGGATGTCAAAAGCACTGAGTAGTATGAGTAGTGTTTGCATAGCAAGGGTGTGCAAAAAGGAGATGAAATCATCTACATACTGTATACATAATATTTATATAACAATATTGCACATTGTCAGACGCATATGTATTTTTGTTTTTAATTCCCATGTGATCAAAAGCATTGAATTGACTGTCTAGTTTTCATGTTTGGGGTACGCCCCCCAGGGGTTTGTCGGCGTGTAGAAGCTTTGTGGGTGGCAAAAGCCTTCCCTGGTTAAGAAAGCCCTTGATCTACTTAGCTGATGTTGGTGCGACCTCATGGAGGTTCGATTAGGATCCTCCTAACAAACTCTCTTTAAAAAACCCATCAGAAAACGTTCCCGCACAGTGGGTATTCTACATCAGTTGTTTTTTTGCTACATCATCGCCTGGAGATCTTGACACCTTGGGTTAGTCAGGCGCTTGAGCGAAAGACAGTTGTTCCATTCTGCCACGGTGTTCGACGTTTGCTCGGAACTGCTGGGATCGTTTTCTTATGGTTTCTTTCACGGTTTCCAATTGTCTTCACAAGCCTTCAAGGCATTGGTTTCTGTTTGATTTGTGCTCGTTAACACGTGGCGCCGAGGCCAGGTGTTGGTCTTTTGCTTACCAACTTCAGAAGAGGAGGGCAATCCTAAAAACCGTGCTGATCGGATTGTCTTCCGCGAGGGCTCGTTTGACTCCTTGGACGGAGACTCCAAGAGACTGCCGAACAGTGCTGTTTGTTTTCGGCTGTAGCACGGCACTTATAAGCTCTAAATCTTGAACGAAAATGGTCCAGGTTGAGCATGCCACCCATTTCGGCACGCCGTGCTTTTCAGAGTTGAACTTCGGAGGATGAGGCCATTGTGGAGCAGTTGGCGCCGCATTTGCCCAGGGGCGCCTGTGTTGTCTCCTGCACCTCGGGGGTGCCGACCGTGACCAAGCGCCTTGCAAACTCCTTACGCGAGCGTTTCGGTGCCTTGGTGTTCAAGAAACGGGAGGCCGAAACGGGGCACAGCCCGCTGGATTGCATGGCGGACTTGGACTGGAGGAGTTCTGGAGTTTTGGAGTTCCAGAGAACGAAAAATCACACAAAAAACGGCAACAGGAATGCTAATCGCAACTAAGGCTACAGGCTACCTCGCATTCTTTCACAACTCACTGCTGTTGGGTTTCGGTTTCCGGTCTTCGGCCGATGAAGCGACCGGTCTTTCGGTCCACCATGTCGGAGCGGTCCTAGAGGCCTGTTTGGCGCTTGGGTGAAAGGGGAAGGACTCGCTAGTTTTCAAAGAGTGGTTGTAGTAGTGGTGGTATGACCGCTTAAAATTAGGTGGTGTTCCAATGCCTAATGAAGCGTTGGTCTTTAAGAGTGGTTGGTTTAAGAGTTATTTTGCGGACACTCTCGTCCCACTTCACAGCTCAGGTTTGCACTTTCTGGACTGTCCGGTGAGTGGTGGTCCTCTCGGAGCTGCTGCAGGCTTACCGCAATGGCTTGGCTTAAAACACGGTGGAGGAACAAGACGTCGCGGTGTTCATGTGTTTTCTATAGTAAACTCTGACAGGGTCTCAATTCTCAATACTAGTTACTAGTTATTGTGACATTCAGCACGGGATCGAATGATGGGAACAGCTGCTTGTGGTTTTCCCTGCCTCTCGAGGCAGTCTCACCTGCATGCTGGGCAGCGATTCGCCTGAAGCGGCCGAAAAGGCGCTGCCAGTTCTCCAAACCTTTGCGCAGAAGGTGGTGAGATGTGGCGTGGACTTCTGAAGCGAAACGACCAGCACCGATCCATTGGTAGATTCAGAGCCCAGCATAGGATCCTGGTAGATTCAGATGGACCAACCAGGGGTTTGTAGAAGAAACTTGAGGTTCCAATCTTGCAGGGGATTGCCAAATCACGAGTTCTTTGTGGTGGTCGGACAGGGGGAAGAAAAATCACATGCTCGTTGGACCATGATGTAGATGATCTCAGCAGGTCGGTTCCACCGGCTGTGGCGCATGTCCAGACGATTCGCCGCAGACGACCAGTCGGCCGACCAGGCCAGCCGACCAGCCGAAACGCGACCCGTTCTGTTTCCAGTGAGGTGGGCCTTCAGGGGCGGGTCATGCGGTCAAAGCAGCGACTTGGAAGGATCGGAGATTCTCGGGTGGGGCGAAGAAAGCAAGAATCGAAGAGAGGATGACAGGGAGCTCACAAAGTAGATAGGAAGGTTTCATTTGTATGTCACGACTTTGGGTGTTTCAATGGTTTCCTATATATAGTGGCTTCCAAAAAAGGCAAGTCACAGCGGCTACTGCCAGTTGTTGAAGTCGAGACGTGTTTTTTTTGTTTAACTGCAAACAGAAGTGGGTGGAAACAGCTTTGTCGAACTTGCGTGTACAGTGGGTAATTGCAGTTTGAGTCCTTTTTTTTAGTAACTGTGATTTGCTGAACCTTGTTCTGCATGTGGCGTTTACCGTTTACAGTGGGAAGGCCAGCAGTCCTCACTTAGCAATGTCCACTTTGAAGCGTTCATGTATTACCCTAGGGCTCCAACCATATCTTCAGAAGGTGGTTGGGCCCCCCAAACCCACCCCAACCATCTTCTCAGGAGGTAGTTGGAGCTTACTTTTTGTGGGTGTTGAGCCTTGGCGAGTCGTTGCTTGAGGGATGAAGACCTGTAGAGGAAATGCTGCAGACCCGATTATTACAATCCTGCAGTCCAACCTGTGTTGTTTTTGGATGAGAACTACCATTTCCAGTCAACTGATCAACTTAACCACCCATTCCTTGATGCGCCCAACAGCGAGAAGAAGCCAGACAAACGCTCTCGTGCACCAAGCTTTGAATATATTATATTTGAATGTTTTGTTGATGTGTGCGCACAGTATGAAATAAATTTGCGTGTGTATATATATACCTGCTGCCCTGCTGGAAGACAAATTGTTACTCCTGATGGAAAAAGAATCCTTTTTGCAAGATTCAGATAATTTAACGATACCCCACGCAAATCCTCACACCAAGACGGTAATTCACGTACCCCACGGTTTTTCACGTACTTGACTTTGAAGCCATTTTGACATGGCTGGTAAGGCCCCAAACCAACATGTTTCTCAGGCGTTTTCTCTCCCATGGTCCAAAAATTCATGCCCCTAATGGTCATTGCAACCAACACAGACACCCACCCCTCTCACCATTGTTGAAGGCAGAAGTCCCCTGCCGAGTCCCCCAGTCTCTGTTTATCATGCGCGGGACCACGCAACTTGGATCTGAGTCAAATACCTTTGCAGGCTCCTTTTGGCCATCAGCCGACTTGAACAACTGCGCGTCAATACTGCGCATCTTCCCACGAAATCTTCGTCAACGCTGCACGTTTCTGATGCTGGGTTGACAGCGAAGTTCGCCCGCTGTGCTTGAAATTTCAACAAGTGACATATTTCATGCAATGCATGAAGCTTGGGGTATAGTCCAAACAACGCTTCACAACTCTCGTAGGCACTTTGCGCTTCAAAGATATAGGATCCGATGAAGGTGCGCAAGTCCTGGCTGAGCTTCAAAGCTTCAGCAGAAGGGATGAAGTAATCGTGAGCGTATATCCCTCGAAAGAACTCATTGATTGCTGTGGTGCCAAGAGCCTTACTGGCATGAATAATTAACCGCGACCGCTCTACTTATGGGAAAGCGCGCTCAAAAACATTGCTCAAAAAACTCTTTGAAAGCAAATCGATAAGGACAACCACCTTCAACCGTTCGCTTGCAAAGACCTCTTCCCTCTTGGTGCCAATGAAGTACTCCAGAAAGCGCAAGAGGTTTGATGTCACAGCGGCTTTGTTCCAACTACCCAAGGCCTCTTTTGAACCGCCAAAAGAATTGCGGTCAAACTTTGTCAAGATGAGGTCTATGTGCTCCCTTCTGCACCAACTCCGGTATTCTGAAGACATGGTGGCGATGCGCTTCTCAATTGACGACCCATCAACCAAAGGTTGCAATAGCATCATTGAGCTTGCTACCCACGCTTTTCCAACTCCCAGGTGCAAACAGTGCCAAGCGTCGAATTTGTGAAAGCGGGACTTCGCGTTCACGCTGTTGTCCATCATCAGACGACGAGTAAAAGATGCTTCTCTATCCCATGGATGTGGGAGCTCAGAGCGGTGCGATTCGTCCATTGCATCTTCTGCTGCCTTCCTCAAAACAAAATGAGAAGGCCCGATCTGAAAGACACCAACAACCCTGAAATCACAAAAGAAGTCAAAGTGAAAACCTTTTCAAGTTGTTCACTCCAAATGGCCAATCTTCCCAGTCCACACCTTTACCGCACAAGCACAAGTGGCATATGCCAGCTCCTCCAATCCCAACATCTTGATCTCCAGCTCCTTTCGGAGCCCGCCGGTAGGAGCGCTCAAGGTTTGCTGAGGATACCTGGGATGATGAACAAATACTCGGACCACATGCACAATTCAGGGCAAAAAAGATATACACCGCTTTCAGAATAGATGGCTATATCCGGAAACGAGTAGATGGCACCAGAAAGTGCCAAAAGCGCCTGCGGAAAACCGTGATAAAATAACCATATATACCTATGCATCCTCAAGCATAATAAATGGCATTCCACCCAGAGTAGACTTGCGCCATCTTCTGCAAAGAACACTGATATAAGTCGTCGATTTTTGTAAACAACCTCTCTGTTAAATTCCAATTGTTTTTAATGTGCTTCTCTTTGAGCTGTCTTTCTCTCTCCTTCTCTCATATTCTATCTCTCTCTCTCTCTCCTTCTCTTCCTTTCTCCTTTGCTATCCTTTCCTTAATGTCTCCTTTCCCTCTCCTTGGATGCCTTTCTTTTCTTTCCTTTCCATTCACTTCTCCTTTCTCTATCCTTCCCTTGGAAGGTGGCTTGCGCCATCTAATGTCGTGCTTGCTGCTTTCAGGGCCAAACATTTTATAGCGGTCTTTCACGAAACGGATTGTAAAGGTAGATGGCGCCAAACCCATCCCCGACTACTAGTTTCCCGTTCATTGTCACGGTTTTTCGCCTAACATGGCTTGCGCCATCTGCATCTGGGTTTTTTCGTTCCAGAGGCGTTTTTCCCTACACAGTAAATGGCGCATTGCAAAAACCTGAGCCAAATTTTCTGACCCCAGAGTATAAACAAAAAGCAAAGTGTTGGTTTCTGTTCACTCTTTAAGTCACTAGGTAGGACCAATCCCCTTTGTTGCCCAACACTATGGGCCACACAATGCCCTGATCTCCAAGGTCAACTCCATGTTCTTGCATCTTTTGAAAGTCTTTGGCTACAATCCAATGCAGAGCGTTCCATACTCTTCTGTCTTCTGAATATAGCTCCTTCAGGAAAAAAAGGCGCTCTCGTTTATACAGACTTTATTGGCCAAAGACGTTCAAGACTTTCAACACTATTTTGTGAAAGCATCTAACAAAAACCAGGTCCTTCCGGCAAATAATGCTCAAGATGCGCGTTTGCATCCCCGTTTTGAGGAAATTGAGTGGCACTCCTTCCCCCATCTGGCGATACCGTTCAGAAACTTCTGCAGCTCGCTTCGAGGTGCCAAATCCAATGGCAGATTGCCAGCTCCCGACCAACACTCCTCCGCGCTTGTAGGTCGTTCCTTCGTCGCCATGCCAGTAAATCGGGATGCATCGGCTCAGCTGCTTCTTTCCAGCGGCAACATCCCGAAAGAGGTCATGGCTTGGGTAAAGAGGTTGGAACCGAGACCAAAACAACTCCAGCATCGAACCAGCTTCCAATATCGAGTTTCTCCCACCCAGCAGGTGACCAAGATCGTTCATACGACCCATCGCTTGCAGGAACTTGGAGGGCATCAACCATGGGAACCCCTGGAGAGGGGCATCTTGCTCCACAGTGATCTCAACGGGGTACAGGAAATTGTACTGTTCAAACACTCGAAGTAGTTTCTCTTCCTGGGATGAAGAATGAAGGTGAATGAAAACTGGTTATACCATTGAAGAACTATTGTGACGTCACGTACTCCACACTTAATCCCGTGGGCAGTGGGCAGTATACAAAACATTGATAAAACTGGCTACGCCTGAAAGCCCTGGTGCGGACTTTTTCGGGTCAATGTTCTGGAGGGCAGCGAGGACCGGGCAGGCAAGGGTCCGACCATCTTCCTCAAGATTGTCTCGCCAGTCCGCCGCCGCGAATGCTATGAGGTCTCTGCATGTGTCCTGAGCAGAGTATCGAATAAGATGTTTCTATATATAGGGATGTTTCTGCATGTGATGCTTTGAAAGCCCTCATGTGCATGCACTTGGGTAAGCCACACAAGTAATGCTGCTAAGATTCACCCCTACCGTATTTCCACGCCAGTTGGCGTGCTTTGTGGGAAGGGCCTGGCATGTAGCAGCAAAAGACTTGAAGTATATAAAATGATGAAACAGCTAAAGCAGCTCAAACGGATGTTTTGTTCCCATCGCAGCTTCTCACATAGGTCGATCCGCTGTGGCAAACCACAGCGCTTGACACCCCGCTTCAAAAGCTTCGAGAGACATGCGGTTCTCCTCATGTCTGATCCCCAAAAGCACCCAACCAAACATTTGGCATAACCACATAACATGTCAAAAACACTTTCACATCTATTTACTTAGATCACCAATGTGGGCGCTCACTTGCGGCTCCGACGTGGCCGCTTCGGCTTTGCCGCCCCTTCCACTTCAGCCGGAGCCTCTTGGGAGGCAGGGTTTTTTCTGCCCTTGCCCTTATTGCCCTTCCAGCTCTTGCCGGGCTTTGACGAAGATCCCTTATTTGCCTTTTGCTTGGGATTCTTCTTCTGAGAGGAACTATTACGGCCTTTAGTCTTGTTTTTCCCAGCACGTTTCTCCTTAGAGATGGTCCTGCATAGAAAGGAACAGGCGAGCAGGAGCAACGTGTTGTAAGTTATTTACATTGCACATGAGTCAGGGTTTGGCAATTGGGCGCCCAGTCCTGAAACGGCCTTCCAAGGGAATGAGACTGGCACACCTAAGGCCAAACCATGGACTGTGCTGGAAGAACATTACGAGGTCAGGCATGCTGACAAGTTACAGCTTTCGCACCGTTTCCTTCTCCTTGACGATTTGCTCCAATAGCCTGATTCCAAAAATGAGAAACCAACCCAAAGTCTGTCATGTTGCATCGTATTCTTTTGTGTGGACCAAACCAGATCGATGGGCATCCATCATCCGGAGAAAGATATCCACTTTGTGGGTGTGGGCACGCAGTAAAACAGGTATACTTCTATATTGGCGTGCCTTACATTGAAGGAAGAACTTGGAGAACATTTGAACCATGCATTCTAGATTGTTTCAACCTCAAGGATTTTCCTTTGTTCAACTAAGTCCCGTGTGTCCTTATTCGGGTTGGTTCAAAGGAAAAGGGCAGGTATTTGTTGTGGCGGTTCATATGTGGGTTCATGGCATGAACTCGGCGTGAACACCCACGGAGGCAACGCAGCGGATCGGAAGGCGGCCTGCTCATGAATGATGTGTGGCCCCAAGAGTTTCTGAACTGCAGATGTTCACAGTTGCCACTAGTCACATGTGAAACACTCTGGTTGGAAAGACCCAAGACCCGAAGACCCTGACCCAATCCCTGGTAAAGGTATTTGATGGTTTCACCAATTAGCCCTGTTCATATTACCACCAAGAAACGTGTCAAGTTTGTCACTCTTCTTCTGACCGTCTTGGTGCTCCATCTTCAGCTCCGTCACAAACCCAGCTAGATGTTGGTGACTCTCCTTCATAGATTCGACCATATTGGTGAATTCATCAGCCAACCTCGTATAGAGTTTGATAAAGGCGTTGCAAACATAAGAAAGGTTCTGCTTTGAGATCAGAGGACTTCAACATATATTCTCTCAAATGTTCAACTGAGAATAAAGCGTCTTTGATTCACCCGATGCATGCTTTGCCAAAGTCTCACCCATCTTGTCAATGTTCTTGATCTTGTTGGTGAGGCAGGTCATGTAGCTCTCCAGGTCAGCAACCGGCTGGCCAGGGAAGCGCAGGACACGGTGGGCAGGTTGAAAGGCAAAAAACGGTTTAGTGCAGCCCCTCCTTCGATCCAACCACTTCCGGTTTAGGAGCTGGATCAGGGAAATCCACAAGATTGTCGGGTAGGCTCGCTGGAGCCGTGCACGCCTTGTCCTCAGTAAAACTATAAATGTCACATATATATAGAGAGAGAGAGACATGTTGCATATAGAATGAATATGCTGGAAAGCTACATTCTTTTCCGTGGTTTCCACTTCCTTCGTAGTGTCAGTTTTTGTCAAGGAAGTCCGCTCGTCATATACCACAAAATATTCCATGATTGCCTCATTGTACCGCCAGGACCTGCGATGTTCCATATACAACAGCGGATATGACCAAACCAAAAACAAGAATGCAAGGATCTTTGAACAGCCCCAATCCTGCACATCGACTCGGGGAATTTCTGACAGTAGCTGATTATCGCGCGGATAGCGGATGCAGAGAATTCACCACTCTTGCGCATCCTTTCCTCAGTCATCCAGCGTCCCAAGACTTCGCTCTGGCGGCTTGAGAGCCTCTCCCGAATCACCTTGCATTTGGTAACGAAATCTGCCTTGCAGGCAGGCGTGAGTGGGGTATGAATTGACTGATCACGGGCACCCTCTTCCTTTGCAATCATTGCTTCCATTCAAAAATCTCAATCACTGTGTTTTTGGAGCGAAGTTGAGGTTCCAGAATGAGAAGGACAAACACATATGTTGCCTGACCGACCCAACATCTTTTGCATCAGTTCATGTATATATATATACACCCTTTTGGAAGTATCCCTGCATCCCTCACAATGTCAAAACCATTTGAGGGGTATACTGCAAGCCCCATCCTTGATGCGCTTATAGGCATGGCGGTGAAGCCCGTGCTTTGCCAAACATTCCAGGAGTGCCATCTCGAGAACTTCACGTTCCTCACCTCCGCGGCGATACTGCTCCTGGACGGAGGCGTCCACGTTTTGCCGACCACTGGGCTTTTTCTCGCACATGCGGCGAGCGCGCATGCGGAGCGCGTCTGCGGAGATGTGAACCTCAATTTGTTCTGCTGGAATAGGGGGACATTAACACATGGATGAAAAACAATGGTCTTCCCACTGGCTTCAAAGGTCAAGGGGCCCTTTTGCCGTCGGGGGTCACAATGCTGTCTTCTTCATCAGAAGAGTCTTCAAGCTCAGTCTCAGTCCCAGGATGCTGGGAACCCTCGAAGGCTGCCTTTTGGGTTCCCGTTCCCTCAGGTTGCTTTTGTTGCTTCTCTAGCTCGGACACTCGTGCAAGTGCTTGCTCACACTGTTGAGCTAAAGCCTGCATTTTGTTTGCCTCACTTTCAGCTGCCTGAGCCTTCTGCGAGGCCTCAAGATCTGCGATTCGGAGCATCAAGGCCTGCTGGTCTTGCTCAGCACGCATTGCGCGGGCTTGTGCTTCCTGAATGGCATATCAAGGCCAGTTGGGAGAATCGCAGAAGGATTATATTCATATACTGTTCATTTCACTTTCCCCACTCCCCTCCCAAAGGACCTTGATGGTTCGTTCATAAGCCTCTCGAAGTGACTGATCTTGAGCGTCTCGAAGTTGCTGAGTGTCCTGAGTATGGGACCGTGCGCGTATATATACATATATAGCCCTCAACAAGTCTAGCCATGTTTGCGATGCAAACGAGATGACTCAAACAAGTGACAGCTGGTATGGTTGAAGCAGTAGGCGACAGTTCGGGATGTAACTTGGATAGGGAATCGGAGTCACATAATTCACATGAAGAAAACAATCACTCGAGTGAAAGCAAACAGGGTTTCACTGATTGCTGATAGAATATAGTACATGTACTTGCAATGCATGCAGGCGCAAGCCACCGGTGCCGCCGGTGTGGGAGCCTTTGCTGGAGAAGGCGCTTCCGTCTTGACTGTCAGGTGATTGTTTTGCCCAGCCTTGGAAAATGCATGACTGCAGTATCAATTTGTGCATGGATTGATATAAGGACTTTGATTGCAGCCTTATACAACAGCGGGGTGAACGGACCACAAAGTGGTCTATAGATTGAATGTGTACGTGCATCAAAGAAACCTTATTGTTGAAGGCCTTCGCCACCATTGCAAGGACCTCCGCAAAATGTTCAGATATTTCACAAACATGCAAATTGCCCCACAATATATCATGTGATATGGTTGCATGCATGGCAATACACCCCTTGGCTTTCTCATCCGGGCCTGCTGAACATCCTCTGGCGATGCATTCTTAAGCTTGAGGCCTGCTTTCTCAGCACATAGCCCAATGCCTTCCACTAGTGTCGAGCAGCTCCAAGCGCGCTCTGGCAGCGAACTCACCTTTGAGTCCCTAGACATGGTCAGTCCAACTAAAGTGCAGCAGACGTCTTTCCCAAATGGCTGCGGATAAAAAAGAGAACTCTCAACAAGTCATGCAATCTACTGCCACCATATATGTGCACACTTTGCACATCCTGCGGGAACCTTTTTTGATCACCCCACACACCCACACAGTGTCAATATAACACTGCGTATGGTGAAATCAAGCTCCAATTCACCAATGCTTCCATGGAGACCAAAAAGGTTTCAGGACATTTCATGTAATTTCAAAACTGCTTATATGCATGCCTTTGGAGGATCATTTTTTGCGTAATATTTACATAATATTTGCGCAAGTCGAACGTAATCTGAACGTAATCTGAACGTAATCTGAACGTAATTGGATTCGCACACGGGTTTTCACGTATAACTTACGTTCTTGAACGGTCTCGAACGGTTCCCTCTAACTTGCTGCACTATGGTGACAGAACAGTAATATAGCCCCCACCAAGAAATATAACCTTTTGTTTGCCCTCTTCACCTAAAAAATGCCAAAGCAAGTAGGGGTGTAACATTCCTCACAAGATCTTACAAGGAATATCGTGCAGGTTGCAAGGAGCTTGGCTTCACATCTCATGGATTAGGCAAAATTTCAATTGCCTTAGGAAATGTTCCGGACCACTCTGTGGGCACTGCCAAGCACTTGTTCCCGTGCATGTACTTAATGCACGGCAGAAGATGTGCTTCTGGCCACGTAGACCATTTCATTCTCACAAAAACCTCAGGACCTGGAATATCACCTGGAGGTGGCTGCCCTTCACCACCAGAAATCAAGGTTGGGAACAGCTCTCTGATTTTGTGCGCAAAGGCCTTTGGGTAGACCCTTAGTTGAAAAGCAACAAAACCCGTGGGCCCATGACACCAGCTCACAATGTGAGCTGGTGTCCATGTGTATGTTTCCTGTGTATTCAAACATAGCTCAGTTCACGGCTGGGTCTGTTTGAGTGCATTTGTTCCACAGAAAGACATTTTACCAGAGTACTTGGCCACATACTTCTTGACTGGTTTTTGCCCGCTGTTCTTGCGCTTCAAATACTCTCTCGCTTTTTTCCCAAAAACTCCAAGATCAAGTTTTGCGAACCACACATTATTGCACCAGCCTTTGTGCCGCTTTGGTGTGGGTGCCTGGTAGGCACCCATCCACCAGCCAAAGGTGTAAACCTCACGACACAAGCTATGTGAGAGAAGCGCAGGACCAAGAGCGGTGAAAAGGCCTATATGTGGCCTTTTGACCTTTGTTGGGAGCTGTGCCACCAAGAGGTTCACTATATATATATATATATGTTTAATTTTGATTGTACGCCATGTTGGGTACTCTGTTGTGGGACACAACGAGTAAATACTTTTTAGACACAATCTTGGCTAGTCTAGATCGACCCAAGTGACTTGAAGCAGCATAGAACTCAACAGAACCACCCTCTTCAAGGCAAAACGTTTGCATGCTAATACAATCCCGGAGCATTATCACCTCTCTCTCTCTCTGTCCCTCTCCCTCTCACATACATCGATCAAGGAACACGGAATGTATCACAGACTTGCTTGAATCTATGATACTCCCCCATGACACTGCTTCGAGGCTGCTCCAACAGCCAGCTGCCTCCCCGTGCCACTACGAGGAGAAGCAAGAGGCACATCCTTGGGCATTTCATGAGAAGGCTTCGCATGGTGGACTTCCCATGACACAAAAAAGCATTTGAAGAGTCAAGCTTCCGAGAAGTCATAGTATTGGCATCATTGATGTATTTTCTTGAAAGGTCACCGGACGGGTTGAGTATGCTTCGAAAGCTTGTCCCCGAGTTTATTTGGACCCAAGAGCTACAGACTGTAGCCCACAGCGTTGCAAAGGAACCTTCCTTGCAACATAGGATCAAGTGTATGGCGAACCTTGCATGAGAGCATGCCCAAACTGAACCCATGAAGACAGCAAAATCATCGATTGCGAAATGTTAAAATCAAAGTTCATAGAAGCGAGTAACACCATTCCAGCTGGAGTCAAGATATCCATAGGGTTTTGCGCTCCATCCACACCCTCAAGATAAGTAATGTCAACCCCCACTGCTGCCGAGTTGTCAGCTCGAATTGCCTGCCAACAGTGTCCCTGCCCAGCGAAGAACTCGACGAACGTCAGGTTCTGCAACCAGTGGCGATGGATTTGCGAGGAACCCAAGTCAGAACGTGTGGTGCCGTGGGGCCATCAAGTGGAGCAGGAACACAGAACAGTGAAGGGCAGGTCATGTAAATTGTTGACTGCGCACTGGAGTCATCCCGTCCTTGCCTCGAAAACCGGAAGATTTGGCGACATCGCTGTCAATAGCACCAACATTATGAATGCCTGATGCCAGCACATATGTTTGATATAATTCATGCCTATGCCCATTTCCAATCTTCAAAGACTAGCCATGGAAGGCCCCCCAACAAACATCACGGGAGCTTTAGGGTTTGCATGAGGTTGATCTTACTTGTGACTGCGTCAAGTTACCTTTGGTGCGCCCAGTTTCGCCAGCCGTCGGACAAGCAAATCACAATCCACCAGCATGGCTTTGGAATCCCTCTCAAAGCACGGCTTTCTTTTTTGGTCCCGGGACAGCTGCAGGCAGTGCAAGTGTTTCCAAATCGATTCTCTTTTGGCATGGCTATTGATAAAATCAAGATCATGAAAGATCCCTGATGTTTTCAAGCTCGACCTGTATATACCGCATACCTCATATACCTGAAAGCAATTGAGCTTTGCACATGTCAGAAGCTGCTCACTTGCAAATCGTTTTGACAGCTTTTGACAGGTTTCCATGCACATACCCGAATGAGTAACAGTGAAACAGGTCAAGTGCACCTCTCTTGAAGCCTTTGGAGATGACGCCGCTTCTCAAGGAGTTCCCACGGTGCCTCCGGTGCTTTGCAACCATCGCTGCACTGCACGGAGACCTGGCGCATGTCACATCGCCTTGAATTGACTTGACCCCAACCTTATAGTACCATGGTGAAAGCCTCGCGCAGGACCTTTTTGAGATCCCTGAGACGACAGTCAATTGACCATGCTATTGCATATATGGCTTTGACAAGTGTGCATTCACACTCTACTCACATCTACTCGCATATGATATTTGGCTGCCCTCCCCAAGCCCGCAAGTGCCATGAAGAGGAAAGTACTCTTTATATAACTGCGGTGCGGCGTAGAAGCACATATTATATGGCACCGGTTGGGGCGTATGAGGAAGCACATCTCAAGACATATGAACTCACACCCCAAAAGCTGTTGGGCCTGCCATGCCCTCGGAATTTGGAACCAACACAGTTGAGATTGAGATAAAGCACGAAGCAGGACAGACCCCCAGCACCAAAACCCCTGACAAATTGACCCGTGGGCCCATGAACCTATTGGCTCTCAGTGAGCTGCTTAAATGCCACATCGTGCGAGGTTTTCAGAACCTGCTCCAAGAGGACAATGTCTTTGGCAGTGGGGTCGATGCGATCTTGTTTTTGAAGCGCTTTCACCTGGGCTGACGAGCGGCAGGATGTCAGAAAACATATACAGAATACAATATATATATATATATTGTATGTAGTTTCTCGAAAATCCTCTAGCTTTCCATATAGTGCAAAAAAATGCCAGGACTGAAGAAAGTCACAAAGACATCGGCCAGTGCGATGTTGGTGTAGGGGCAGTGAGTCTTGCATCCAAAGTAGGCAACCTGGCACTTCTTGCCCTTGATCGTGCGCTTGGGCAAGAACTGCTTGTTGACCTTCACCCCCGCATGTTGGCGCGACCAGTAGATGGAGAGGTCCAAGTCGTTCGATTCGATCTCACGCATCTCAAAGGTTGGATGCGAACAGTCTGTCTCGTGACATTCCTTGAGAATGTGGGTCACAAGGCTGACATATTCCTCATTGGGCTCCACATCCTTCTTCGATTTTTTTGTCCCCTTTGCCTTTGCAGCAGGTCTATTGGCCTTTGACTTTTTTGGCTTCGAATCCTCTGTCGAAGCCTTCTTGGCCTTCGCCTTGGCCTTCGCCTTGGCATTTGCTTTGTCTTTTGCAGACTGGCCCTTGCTTGTCTTGGCAGAAAGTGCTTCATCAAAGGATGCACCAGTCTTGACCTTGGCCTTCTGGCCCTGTGACTTTTGTGTCTTACCAGCAGCCTGCGCCTGCTTCCTCTTCCGAGTGCGCTTCTCCTTTGAAGATGGCTGCTCCAAAGTTGGCGCCTCCACCGAATATGAGATCTTCTCTGAGTATTCCGGCTGCTCGTTTGCATGCGGCTCATCTGCCTCATCCAAGTCCAAGCTTGACTTGCTCTTGGAGATGCGGCGTAGCTTTGCCAAACGGCCTCCGCGAGCACGCTTGGGAGTTCGCTTCTTTCTGGCTGGCACTGGCGCCGCATCATCATCACAAACGGCGGTCTTCTTCTTTTGTTTGCGGGGCTTCTTCTTGCCCTCTTCGAGGTGACTATCTTCACTCGGCCGGTCATTGATGGCTGTCTTGGCCGTCTCCGATCCTCTCTTCTTGCCCTTGGCCGCGCTCCGCTTTGCAGCACGATTTTCCTTCTTGCTGGACTTCATGCGGAACTGTTTCCTTCTTGTGATCACCTCATGCTCTGGAATCTCCGGCTCATCCAAATTCGACGTCTGGGCCTGCCACAGGGAGGTTGCAACATATCATGTGTGCATGTGCTTGTGCAACTGTGTAGCGCGGATCGAGATTTAAACACCCGCGCCTTTACAGAGAGCTTGGCTTCATGAGCCGCCAAGTCCTTCAAAGTCTCATGCGCTACATCGGTGTTCAGGAGAATGGATGCATCGCAGGGCAATTGAGTGCAGTCCGTATCAAAGGCCGCCGGCATGACAGAATCCGAAAGGACATGCGTTGGCTCATCACCTCCGCACGTGAGCAAGCACAACACAATATGTGTCGAATCCAGAGCTGGCACCAGAAAAATACGTTACAAATTCGGGGAAAGGGACGCTGCCAAGAAACCTAATGGTGGTAGGTGAGTTCCTGCTGGATTCTCTTTGCGCGCGCGCTCTGAGTCCAGCTCAGACCTCACTGGGTCACAGGGATGTGATCATGTTTCCATGAAAGGATTATGACCCCACCACCACCACAGTTCAAAGAAAATCTATATAGACTGAACAACATGCGAGGTTCAAGCTCAAGGCGCCCAATGCCTCAACCAGATCTCCAGCAATTGATTGAAGGTCCTGTTCCGTGAAAAGGGTACGACGTGGAGTTTCACCTTCCTCATCAGAAATCTCGACCAGATCCTCCAATGTGAAGATCACCCCATTGTACCGCAAACATGGGAAGACAAATTAAACACAAGTTTTGGCCTCAATATTGCATGTATCATGGGGCTTCAGTCCTTTGTGGATTTGCCACGATGCAAGTGCCCCGGCTCTTCATGCTGCGAATGGAGAGCAGGTGTCGCTGCTTGTTGCGGAGGTCCACTCTCAGCATCGTTCTCAGCAGCTGCCAGGCTTTTGTCTACAACAGCGCACTTCTCAGTCTCCTTTCTCTCAAGCCCATTCGTGGAGGCATCATCAGTCGATGTGCCTTTCTCGCCCACTCCCTTCCCTTCCGGGCTGGGGTTTGGAAGGGCAAGGGGAGACGGAGGCTTGGTCGAAGACAACCCAACTGGACTTGCCGGTTGTGGAGGTGGGCCTGAAAACTTCTCCGTGTCTATAATCCTTTCAATCTCTCCAACAGGATCGAAAGGCTCCTGTGAATCTGGAAACTGCATGACTTGGCTCAAGATGGGCGGCTCCGGAGTTCGATGTGCATCTGGGTCAACCAGAGTGGCTTCAGCAGGATGAGTCTGAGGAGCGCTAATTGGAGCCCAGGCCTCCCAACACGCGAATGATGCTGCCGACAGGTTGAGATATACATGTAAGTTTGAAACTCCGAGCCCGTAAGCAACCATGCCAGAACAAAACAAACACATCATTTATAAATAATTTTCAAACATTGCGCATATAATGCAATCTCTTGCCCAAAGGAAACCCCAGTGAGGAAAATCCCACAGATCACCCAAGAAACAAATGTGTTCCCCACATGTGTTTGGAGCCTATATACATGGCAATCCTTGGCCAAGATCCAAAAGAAAGTGCCAAAAATTATAAAAAAAGAGTTGAGACCTGAGAAGCTGCAAAACGAAAGCCAGCGCTTCCCCTTTTCGACAACTGCGCGTCGAAGCAAGCAGAGAAGAGGCATTGCTGCAAGGCCTAGTATCGCCATGGACAAAAACCGCTACAACCAAGTTCCTCAATTTGTGGGGCTCGAAACCCCTGCGTTTCGAGCCCCACAAACCCCTTGCCATGCGAGCACCAGGCCGCCTGCGTCCACCCAAGTACACTTCGTGTGCTATGAATACAAGTCTGGAGAAGGAGGGCCGACGGGTACAGAACCATGCAGTAGAGATTATCCAATGATCGGCGTTTTAGAACAGATCAATCAAGTTCCCCGATTTGTGGGGCTCGAAACAGTAGCGTTTCGAGCCCCACAAACCCCTTGCCATGCGATCACCATGCCGCAAATGATGCAAATGATGCATTTGGCATTTCTTGCATCACCACCCCTCAAAAATCACCTCCAACACAACCTCAAAAAACCTTCCCTCGAAGCACCCTCCTCCCCCAGCATGTGCCGAGTTTACGTGTACCTTTCCCGGGCCACCCCCCCAAACCCCCTAACTACTCACTTCGTTCGCCAGACACAACTCCGCTAGCGCCTTCTACGAAGGCTGGCTTTCGTAACATGTTGACCAGTGGTTTGTGAACGACCGTGGCACCAGCCTTCAAATCGAATCCCATCGCGTACAGGAGGCGCGTGATCACAAGATCCTGGATGGGATCAAGGACTGATGGAGGGAGGCTGGGGGATGTGGCCAGACAGTGCCAGAACACCGGATCGACAGGCTTCAAAAAAACATGCATAAACATTCAAAACAAGAGGTCCTGCGGCGGGTGTTCCTTGTAAGCGAAGCTCTTCAATTTCCCCAAACAGCGTCTGATGGCCCAAGCTTCTTGGTAGCAGTGTTCGAGGTTTCTAGCCATCTTGGTGACTTTGAAGAACTGGTTCACAGATTCGATCAAATTGTCAATCGAGGGCAACTTGAGCTCATGCTTCCCCATTAGCTCTGCAAGGGGAAGCAAGACACATTCGTTCAAGACCACTGTGTCCTTCGTTCCATCCACATGCCAGCATCCCGTTTCACCAGTGGCAGGGTTTACAGCGAGCATGAGGTTCTGGTTTGAACGGGCCCTTTCCCGTATAGTCGGATTGTTGTCCCACGTGGTATGCAAGCCCGTCAACTCGTAGGTTCCCACCACACTCCTGGGGGAAGAAGATGGTGAGGCAGTTCGGCTGCCTCCTTCACCAGAACTAGCTGCCTTGGACTTAGCAGCCGTTTTTTTAGGCCCCATATTGTGAAGGCTTGTCACTAAATCAAGCGGGCGTCAAACAGTCTGGGCCAAAATGCACTGCCACGTCCAGGACTGCAGTTGAATGAGCCTATAGTGCTGTGAGTCTGCAAGTCTCACCTCTTGGAAGCCAAGCAGGCTGATTGCCAAGACTATATAGTTTGAACTAAAACAACATCACTGATTTAAACAGGTCTGGATGGCGGCGATCAGTCCGATGGGTTTCCCCATGGCTGGACATCTTGACACATGATAGAAAAATAGAAAGGGTTCTTCTTCAATATTGCTGTGCCATAAAGAGCTTCAGAAGGTGTGAAGGTTGAGGGGGCATGACTCTTCGGTTGGCCCATATATGCCAGTTGTAGTGCCAGTTATGATTCTATATAGACACATCTCATCACATCTCTGACGTGTCCTCGTGTCCATGGATTATAGCAGCCTTTCCCCAGGCTGACATAGGCCATTTGACAGGCCCTTGAGCAAGGCCAAAAAGATCCACCAAAGCCTTTGCAGCTGTGGACACTGGTGTGGGAGGAAGGGAAAAATGGATTACGGATAAACACGTTCAGGATAGGAATTTCCATTCATGCTTCTAAAAGAAGCCTTTTTGTCAAAGGCATAGCAATTGTTCTTCTACAGGCGCCCCAGGTATATATTATATGTCTACAGAAGAAGCTGAACAGCAGGCAGCGAGAGTGCATGCTTCGCTTAGTGAGATGTATCTCCCCACACTTCCATTGTGACACTTACCTCTCCTCCGTCACTCCCTCTCGCAAGTGGAGCACCGGTTGCATGTATCACGGTCGGACCACGGTGCGACTGAGCACCAGATGTGGTTTTGTTGCGCATGTGGGACAATCAGGTGAACAATGCGCTCAACGTGACGCATTTGATGCTGGGTGCGGAAGGGCTACTGGCCCTGCAGCAGCTGGGTGTCGATCCCTCAGTGGCCTTGGAGGCCATCAACGGCTCCAGTGGGCGAAGCCTGCAAACTGAGCAGCGGCTTCCACAGGACATGGAGCGGAAATGTATCCTGAAGATGTGTGACACCTACCGCAGTATGTAGCATTAGCGAGCAGAAGTAGTAGTTGCTGTTGCAGTAGCAGCAGTATAAACATCACTGCTAGTCGCCTCAAGTAGCGAATGGATCTCACGATGTCTGACGATCTTTACGAACACCTTTTCCAGCTGCCTGCAGGAAGTCTTGACTCGACGTTTTGGCTATGGCTTCAAGCTGCCTTTGATGGCCAAAGACTGCCGCATCGCCGCCGAAGTCTTGGAGACCTTGCCCAGCTCCCAGCTGCTGAGTCGTTCCACCCAAATGGTGCAGGAGATGGGAAAACCGGATTGGACCGGATCTCCGCGTTTTGCTTTTGGGCGGAAAAACGGGGAGAGAGAGAGAGACAGGCGCAGGTGAGGCGTTTTCACACATGGAGGGGCGAGTTCTGCTGGATCTTGTTTTGATGTTATGAATTCTGCAGGAATTTGCCAAGGAGCACGGGGCGGATGCGGACTACACCTGTGTAGAAGCTTTGCCTGAAAAAGTCCAACCGTGGGGTGACCAATCAAACATCATCAAACTCTATTTGTTTTGGGGGTTGATGGTTGCACTGGATTGTAATTCAAGAGCGAAGTAGGTTTTGGCTTGATGGGACTCCTGTAGGAAAGCCACCATTGTTGGGGGAGGTATTAAACTCTCACATAAAGTCACCTGGAGTTTGTTTTGTTTGACTTTCGTTTCTGGAGCAGCATGGAGCAAGAGATGCCACATGCACAATCGGTCAAGCTGAGGTCAAATCCATCGAGAAGTTTGCGAAGACCGAACTCCGCCCTGGGCGTAGCAATCTCTGATTTTGTTTAGGCCTACGACATCCTACGGCCATTTCCGGCACCCCAACATCCTGCAACACTAATGGCACAAAACGCAGCAACTTTAGACCTGGAGTTTAGCTTTAAAAAGGTATCACAGCTCGTCACCATGCTGCCCACACTGGATGTAAAATGGACGCCGATATGTCAAGTACAGTATATCATATCGTCTTGGGATTTTCCGAGCGTTGGGAATTTGTGCCAAACTTTTGAGAGGAGGGTTAAACATCCCCGAGTTGGGGGGTTGGACCTGCCGGCCAAGAGGCTTTGTTCATTGTCATTTTCACAACATCTCGATCGTCATGAGGTGTTGAAGGAGCTTATGTTGACATATTCATCCTAAAGTTCTGTTGGCATTGTCTGGCAAAAAGAACACAGCTTGTTTCAATTTTGGGTGGGCTGATCGTGAGTGAATTATGTTTTAATGCGTGGCTTTTGGGTAGCGCGGCGAGACATCAATTTAAGACGCTAAATCATATGTGGCCCATTCACTTGGGGCTGTTTGCTCATATGTGTTCAGTTGGGTTTGCTCAATGTCTATCAGCGAACGACATTCAGTTGGGTCCAACCCTGGATGTGACCGAGCTCAGCTCTGCCTGTTTGTGGCAAAAAGGGTGTCCCATTCGGCCCGTCCGGGTAGCATGTATTGCTTGTGGGAGGCATCCATCCCAATTGATAAAGAAGATCACAAGGCTCTGCAGATCCAATTGCCATGGACGAAACCAGTGGAACCGGTTTGCTGCCGCAGGCAGCCGTCCCTACAAGGTGGAGTGGTAAGGAAAATATGATAAAGGAGTCAGTGCCCCCTCGTCTGGGATCACAAGGAAAGTTGGGATTGTGGCCTCCAAGCAGAGAGCGTCTCGTGTTTTCAATACGCGTTACGCGCTTACTATTCACTTTTGTTTTATGATGGTTTGTATGTTGTTATGGTAAATGCCGGACGCATTGCCGAGGAATTAGTCACGTCATCATGTATCCAATGCCGCAATAATTAAAATCCCAGCCACACGGCTAAAGTTTGTAGCGGACTCCATTGTGAGCTGTATAAGCTATGAGGCACAAGGACCCCATAAAGCATGGTGCATGGAGACACTTAAAATTTCCAAGTAAGACATTGCGGATTGAGACCGGTTTGGTGCCGCTGTTGAGCACATCCCCTCGTTATTTTTACAACTTCAGGAATTGTTAATCATAATCCTTTTGTCTAAGAGATGATGGATGGGACTGTTGAGTAGTTTGAGTAGTGTTGAGTCAGTTGTTTAGGCCTCCGCCGCATCGCGCTCAGCCAGGAGACGAGCCTGGCGTATTCTCAGCGGTGCCCACTTGGCAACTCGATGGACATTTGTTCATATGTTCTGGTTTGGATCGCAGGTGGTGCTTGAGTCATAGAAGCACTTTGGCGTTGCATATTTTTTGCCACACATGCCCGGTGTCAATGTTAATACTGTAGCGTAGCCTTGTAAAGCCGGTTTGGTCACATTGTTTCGTGCACAGAAGCCTCACAAAGATCGTCTTTAACGTACTATGAGGCGTCTGAGGGGTCCCGTATTAAACGACCCTCCAAATCCTCACATAAACATATATATATATATATTTATACGTATATATATATATATTAATATTCATAATTCATACAATTACACTTTTCTTTTGTTTAAGGGGAGCCCTTCATGGAAGACTGTTTGCTGGCATTGCGAGTTTACAGAGATTTGAAGAGGCATGCGTCGTGCATTTGGTTATCGTATTCGGACTTTGGACAGGCACCCACTGCTTTGAGACTAGGATTCAGATTTTCGGCCTTTGGTGTTGAAGATTCCCATGTCAAGTTATCCACGTCATGCACGAACTCCTTGAAAAACCATACCCTGCCACTGATTGTATAAGTAAACCTGAACTATAAGTCAATGAGTGAATCCTCCTCAAAAACGCGCTCACGAGCCTCATGATTCAGGGCATGAAATGGCAGGATGAGTTTGCTCATCACCTTTTTCCCATAAATCCAAGTCACCTTCGGGCCATCCGAACGCCGTTCCGTCGAGTGTTCCGTCGCCTCGACGCCCCGAGGTCCACGTTGCCCCTTCGCTCATGGCGCCAAGGACCGGAACGATCCGGAAGACGGACGGAGGAAAGGAGTGAGCGGATTGGTGGTTCGGGTCTCCAGATTTGGAGTGGAGTAAAGGAACCAAAGAGAGAAAGGGAGACAGAAGGAAAGGGTTGTTCAAGACACTATCTTGGGTTCCCCTCATGCCTGGGCGTCCGAGACGTTAACAGTCTAAGAATATGCATGTCTAGGACCTAGGAATGACCATGCAGTTTTTGGCCGAGAACGACTCATGCTTTGAGTCCCAGCTCACCTTTCATCAACAAGAAGCTACTAGGTGGAGGCCATGGCTAATTACTGTATTAGGTTGGAGGCCATTGCTATAGTAACAAGAAGCTTTTACTACTAGCGATTTGGAAATTGAGTCGATCATTTTGGCGTCATTGCCCTTTCTGGGCCCCACGGCATACGGCATGGGGTGGGTGAGGGGCAAATGGTATTGCCACATAATGCCACTGGATCTTCTTTGGATTGTTTGGACACTTTTTTGACGCCGGATGTCCGAGCTTTGGGTTGCTTTAGGTATTGTTTCTCGGTGAGATCAGGAGCGGTCGGGCACGGTCGGGCACAAACATGGAAGCTCGAACCCCCCTCCATCCGGTTTGTGATTTCTCCGAGGTGTGAAATCGAGTTTGTGAGCAGGTGTACCGCCACAGAGAGCATTACATGATCTGAGAGAAACACAATGCAACTTGTGAACTTTTTGTTGGCTTTCTGGGTGGCATTTGACATCATTTGCCTTGACCTTTGTTGGGTCAGCACCATAGATTGATAGGGGGCCCGAAGACATGTAAAGCCTTGTGTTTGGGTTGTAAGCCCCAAGCCATTTTTGTCATCCCAATGTTTGCAGAAGCCAGAACTTTCTTTGGGGACGTGCTTGCATTCCCTCAAGGCCAACGCTTGAGCGATTTCTTTTACGGGTGCGAGGGTTGCAGAAAGAGACTTTGACGAGAGTGTGCATACGCTGATATATTCTACCTGCAGAACCTGTGAGGTTGCCAATATCTCCAAGTCATTTACACACTGAAAGGTACCCTTTGGATCCTTTTGGTATGTTCATGTGTTTTGCATTGATTAGCCACTTGCAAGTGTTAGGTCCCACTCAAGTAACTAAAGTCAATCAGGGGAGTACCAGTCTGAGACGGCCCCCCTAATTAAGAAAAGATTTTGTTGCCAAGGGTGCACTTTTGAAGTCCGTGTGACATTTTTGGTTGATAAACTATAGAGTAACTACAATACTACATACGATTTCCTTTTTCCAGAGTTGAAGCTGCTTTGGTTTACGTGCGGACCTTGGTTTATATTTTATAGGGCATTTGTTTTGCCAGCTGCCACGTTGTGGGAGATTGTTGCATATGGAAGGAAGGGTAGGCTTCCGATATAGATCGATATAGTACCTAGGATTGTGTCCACCAGAGGTGGCTTTATTCTAGAAATCAACAAACTTGAAGACAAGCGAAAAACAACACAAACCAAACAAGCACCAGCAAAACAAAGAGCAGCCAAGAGAGCCAAAAAAAACAAACAACACAAGTGCAACCAAAGAAACACAAGCAAAGCAAAGAGCAACCAAGAAAGCAACAAAAAACAAACAAACAAATGCAACATAATGCAACCAAAAAAGCACAAGCAAAACACAGAGGGTAGTTTGGAGGGGCCGGGTAGGGTTAGTACTGGACAAGGGTCTTTTCTGGTGCTGGGTCAAGTGTCGCACTTTTGGTTGCTTTTTTTCCGGTGCCGGGTCAAATGTCGCACTTTTGGTCGCTTTCTTTTTCTCCGACGAAAAAGTCGCACTTTTGGGTCGCTTCTTTTTCGCTTTATTTTTGCTTCTTTTGCGGAAAAACGATTAAAAAAGAGCGAAAAAAAGCGACCAAAAGTGCGACTTTTTACCCAGCGCTGGAAAAAGAACATGGAAACAAGAAAGCAACCAAAAGTGCCCAGAAAGTGGACCCTCCCCCAAAAGTGCGCCAGAAAGTGGACCCTCCATCAAAAGCGCGCCAGAAAGCGCGCCAGAACGTGGACCCTTCCAAAAAGTGCGCCAGAAAGCCCGGCTGAGTTGTTCAATTTTTGCTGGGGGCGATCCAGTGCAGCATTGCTGGCTGGGTCACTGTAAGGTGCTGAACTCCCCTATGACACCTGCGTCCAGGTTGACATGCACAGTACAGGTCGAGGGGGCTGTGCATGCAGTGCCTTTGGTTCCTGGTAGGAATCTGCCTGTTTTGTACCTGTTTTGGTACTTGGTATTTGCTCTTCTGGCGTGCGTATGGAGTGATGGCGTCTGTTCGCGGTTTGTTGTGATCTCGGTGAGGTGATGGAGCTTGCGGTTCACATGATGTTTCGGCTTGCGACGCGTATACACTAATTCAAACCTTCCTTCAACCTTCTTCAGCTTGCTACATTTTATTCATGTTGTTTGCTTTTTATTGCTTTTATGATTGCCTTTTTTTCTGGCTGCAATTTGTGATTGTTTTTTTGTTGTGTTTTTTATATGTGTTTGCTTTTGTTTTTCTGGTTGCATTTTGTGATTGTTTTTTGTTTTTTTTCAAGATGATAAACTTCTAGAATAAAGGGGTTTGGCGGACACAAACCTAGGATAGTGAATCTATCCCCAAGTTCTTCTTTGCAACGACGGCCTCCATAAGACCGTGTGATGCTACTATACTGGACGATGTTTGGCCAAAACGACCGGGCGCGATTGGCAGGAGCAGCTCTACCACCCAAACTACTTCAGGACCTTGGTTTGCAGGGACTTGCAACGACGCAGGTGAGCATCACTGGCTGGGCAGGGTGGGACGAGGGTAGGAAGGTCAAAGCCGGATGAAACCTGCTTGTCGGGTATCCCTTCATCGGGGAAAAGAATCTGAGTTAGCTATTGACTGGGAGTTGACGAAAGGGGTTTCCACGGTTGCTCGGGGTTGAAGATCTTTCCCTGCTTGTTGGCGCCAATGTTTCCCTCCTTGTTTCTTCAGAGGCCTTGAGACTGCTCGGTTGCTCGGTGAAGATGTTCTGCCTCAGATGAGGATGGTGGTTTCATATTCTTGTGCATTTGGGAATATAGACATGCACCTGGATCACGTGGATATCACGTAGACCACGCATTGCTGCCCATTGAGATGCACCCAAACTTTGCCAACAAGTTGTGAACTTGGCCTCTCCCATACCATGTAGAGTGACCAATGTGACCACTCTACCAGGACCTTTGTTGTGCCTTTTTCTTCTGAGGGCCAAATGGTCTTTGGAGGGCCACTCCGACGCGTGTGAGCATGCCAGGTGCCCCCGCGCGCACTTGTGTGCGTTCTTCCACCGTCAGGGGCCTCAGGCCGACCACGAGGCGAAGCGAGGTCCCCATGCGGCGGGGAAAAATCGCATCCAGATTGTGCAAAGCTTCATGAACCAGGTACATCTGGCTGCTCGTGTCAAGCGGCACCGTGTGTGTGTCAACCCCTGTTCCGAAGGGTGCTTCTCGGTTTTCCATCTCATAAGCAGGGGGACGGGACACCACTGGCATTTCCCGTCCAACGAAGAGGATGCCAGTAGGTGCTGATGCAGTGGGGGACGCCCCACTGTGTACCTGTTCCATGAACTGTTGCTTAAGCTGTCCAATCTTTCCTTTTTCCATGGTGGTTCATGCTACTTCCCCTAAACCCTTTCCTTTGCCGCTCGCGCGCGCTGCTGTCGCACCACTGCAGATGAGAAACACTTCAATGTTAAAACACCTTCAAGTCTTTGGACCTTTCACCATGCCGTTCCTTCACCCTCCTTCTCAAAGTGGGAATTGAGTTAACTGCAAACCAATGTCAAAGTGTGAGCCGCTCAGCCGTCCCACTTGGGTGCTGGGTGTGATCCTCCGCAAGGAGGCGCTGTCATCATTCCGGAAATCGTTTAACAGCTTTTCGGTTCCACCTTTTGTTGCATTATCTTAACGGATTCTTTTACAAGCACTGGATCTACTGCCTTTCGAGCCGCCGGGCTATAAACGATGGACCCTTTCAGACTCTTCTGTAACCTAAAACAGCCGCCGGGCTTAAAAACGGATTTGACAGCCGCCGGGCTTAAAAACGGAATTCACCCCACTTCAGGCAGGTCTCCCTACCCCCCCCCACCGTGGTCTACTCCCTACCTAATTAGGGTAACACAGGGAAATGGTACTCGACACACTTGTGTGTCGGTGCCTTTCCCTCTGTTGTCCCTTTTCTAGTCTACTCTACCCGGGCGGTTTAAGACTAAAGTCCCGCTCCCTAACTATTGCACTGTAGTTCGTCTCGGCTAAGTAGTCAGTAGTCCTAGAGTGCTAAGTATTCAGACACACACACGTACACACACATGGACATACACCCCCTCCCTGCCCCCCTTTTCTTTCTTGCGCTTTCCGCGTTTCCCTACCCCAGTCAAGGGCTAAGTATTCATTTTCTTTTTTCTACACCTATCGTTCTCTCTTGCCCTCTTAGCGCTGCTCTTTCTGTGTTTCTTTCTTTTGTTTCTAAGGCTTTTTAGGTATCTATTCAGGCTTTCCACGCGAGCGCCGCCAAGCGGCACCGTGTGTGTGTCAACCCCTGTTCCGAAGAGTGCTTCTCGGTTTTCCATCTCATAAGCAGGGGGACGGGACACCACTGGCATTTCCCGTCCAACGAAGAGGATGCCAGTAGGTGCTGATGCAGTGGGGGACGCCCCACTGTGTACCTGTTCCATGAACTGTTGCTTAAGCTGTCCAATCTTTCCTTTTTCCATGGTGGTTCATGCTACTTCCCCTAAACCCTTTCCTTTGCCGCTCGCGCGCGCTGCTGTCGCACCACTGCAGATGAGAAACACTTCAATGTTAAAACACTTTCAAGTCTTTGGACCTTTCACCATGCCGTTCCTTCACCTTCCTTCTCAACGTTGGAATTGAGTTAACTGCAAACCAATGTCAAAGTGTGATGTGTTTGACAAACGTTGTGTTTCAATGCAGGCTGCGGCCTAGCCGGCCCAGCAATGAAACCCGAAAAACAAGGGATGTAGGCCAGGTCATGTACTGCAGGGAGGCACACGGCCATGGCCATCGTGGCGTGCAACACTCCGCTGGCACAACGTGGCACATGTGTTGTCCAGCACGACCGGTGGCTGCACTGTTGGTCAGGCAGCCTTGACAAGACGGCAACATGCAACACACACAGCTCCATGTTGATTTCCGTCATGGCCCCTTACACGCACATTGCGTGTGGGTTTCTTTGCGGGTCTTTCCTTCCACTCCTTGGCATCCTTCGCACATGGGGCCCGTCCAATTCTCAAGCTTGCAACACCAGCCGTAGGTTTGAAAAAGCCGATTCGGACGCTTAAAGGATTGGTCCAGAAGTTCCTTCCAGTCAGTGCTGGTACCCAGCATGCGGTCGGGGGTGTCCCGACCTCACCTGTGTCGTAGCTTGGAGTGTGACATGCCATGGTGCGTTTCACCAAGATGATTGTCCATCCAGAGATTTGGTTCCACCAAGATTTTTCCATGGCTTTAATCTCATTCCCAAGTCTGCCCCAGAAAGCCTGGCGCCTGTGTTCTTGACAGCCCCACAAAAATGTCCCAGAAGCATTCGGTGCCCCGTTCCTTCCAGTTGATGAGTCGGCACCCGTGGACAGGCGGATCTACACATCTACACATCACCAACAGCACTATATGAAATTACTTTGGCAATTACACATATGAATATATGTATATATATATATATGTTTGCTTTGTTCAATCAGGATGTTGCCGACGTGAGTAATTTCTGAATGCTACTGCACTGGTCACGAAAGGTAGCTGAAGGTACCTGAGTTGTCCTTGCTTTAGTCACATCCAGTGGGGCAGGCGTGGCTTGTGCTAGGAGTTTGGGTCTAGAAGATTGGATTTCTCTTTAAATCGCTCCTTGGATATCATGTGCTGAACATGTGGAAGCGATGCGGGACAATTGTATATGCACCAGTCTGGTGCAAGAAACAACGTGCACATGTCATTTTAGATTGCTTGCTCCGCCATGCGCCGTTAGATCATTAGCACCCATTGGCCAGGGGGAACCACTGCAAGCACAAGGCAGCTTCCAAACCACGTGATTTGTCCACAAAGTGCCCAATACAAAGGCCAACGGAGGCAAAGTTCAATCTTTTAGAATCTTTTTGAGCTGAATGATTGCTCCCACATCTTCTCTGGACCTTGTCAACCAGAGTGACCCCCCTTTGATGTTCCTTGCTTCGCAACCGCCGTGCAAGTCGCTTCCCGAGCTGAGGGCAGTCGGACTGCCGAAAGATCAAGCATGACCCCGTGGACTATTCTCGGCCTTTGCCCGAGAAGGCTCGTTTGGGTTTTCCGGCCGGGTGGGGTCAGCACGGTCATCCCACAGTTTGACGTCTTGTGCCGCAAAGCTGCGTTTTTCTGAATGCAACGGGGCTGACAGTATGAAGTGATTGCACACACTCAAGATGAGTGCTCCTTGGAGCTAAGCTTCAGTGTTTCGCGGTGATCATTAAACCTTTACTCTTACCACAATTTAGACCCTGACTTGGCGAACCGAAAGGTGAGTGAGTCCGCAAGAACAGTATTGTTTCAACAGTGGTGAAACGTGAAGAGCCGGTAAAAATTAGAGCAGGTACGTCACGGTGATCAGCCGTGATATCTTAGTCAACTGCATGGAGCTTCGTTGGCGACAGCCATGCGGCGACCCTGTCGACCCCTGCATGATACTGTGCAGAGGTGTGGTGGGAAGTAGAGAGGAGTAGTGTCCCTAGGTACGGGGGGTGACACACACACACACGGCCACCATTGACATTGCACGTTTGCACCACAGCCTCCGCGATAGTGTATATATTGCAATTTATTACGTCGTACTTGTCCATGCTTCCCACTCACTCCATGCATTTGTCCTTATTCTCGTCTGACAGAAGTCCTCCAGGTGCAACCTGCCGGGAATTGTTGCCACCGACCTCACTGGTCTTTACCACCGGCCTCACTCGATCCAGGACGTGCCCTCTGACTGGCTACTGCACTTCTTGAACCCACCGAAGTTCCAAGAGGCCAAGCTTTGGAATCAAGTGGAATCAGTTTATTAGCGTGATTGGCACATATTTTTACATGAAAATTAGGATTTTCACTTTCTTTGGGCTTTCTGTGGGTGTGATGGTGTTATAATGATGGTGTTTTTTGAACCAGCTGGAAAGGAGCTGTTTTGCTTCGTTTTTTGTGACCATTCAATGGACACTGGATGACCATACTGGTAGCACCAAACAGCAGACATGGGCCCAATGAAGGTGCATGAACCTGCATTGACAATCAAACGCAATGTTCCTCAGCCTTCCCGGGCCACATGCTCAAACATAAAGATGACACATTCATTGGAATGGTTGGCCCCAGTACTCGTGCCACTGCTAGTGGCCAAGCACAGTAGTCCTTGCTTCAGGCCAACGAGATGTATGTGCCCACCTGAATTTGCAACATGTTGCAACCTTTTCCCCTGCAGCAAGTCTCTAATGCTCAAGTCTGCTTATGCCTCTTTCAACGATGGGGCTCGGAATGGGCGTGGCCTGCGCAGCACGGAGCGCCTGCGCAGTAGTCAGTGGTACAGCCCTGAGGAGCTAAGCTCTTTCGGCGATGGCGTCGCCAGTGTGCGGCCCGAGTCGGTGCTTTCAGCGCCAGATTCGGTGGCTGAAAGCTCGGCAACTCAGGGCCTGTCCTTCTATGGAAAGGGACCATCCTTGGTGACTGGGCTTTGAGTAAAGAGTGACTTGTACGTTGAACCATTGCATGGGGGTGTCCTATAGCCTATAGGTTTTTAGGTTTGGTTGTGATGTCCTCGATTGTTACTCGTAGCTGTGTGTATACTTAATATTGTCCCACTTAGTTGGACAGATGGATGCAAGCGTTTAGCCAGAGCAAAGAGCAAGACATATCATACCTTGGATTTGGTTGGAGGAAAACCCATAATAAGACACACACACACACAACATTAATTAGTGCGTTCGCACTTGAGCGTTGAAGGCGGGTGTTCAACCCTGCTGCGCCCTGTTGCGCCGAGGCCAAGTTCAGCCCTCCCAGCCGCCGTCCAGAGCGGCGGGATGCCAGCAACATGTTTCGCGACAAAGAGCGCGAGAGGGAGTTGTCTGAACAGGTCGCTGCCGGGCAGACACTTGGCGCCAAACAGATTTGATGGATTTTTCACAGATGTTGTTTGTTTTTTTCCGTTTGTCAACTTCTATCATGTTCACTGTAATTAGGTTGCTTGATGGTTTTAGTGGGATCATGTAGAAAAGCCAGAGCAAGCCCCCCGGATTGCCCAAGGTTTAAGGGCATGCCGTTTCGGCACTGGGTGCATTTAAGCTGAAACATATTGAGACATATTGAGACAAAAATTTAGCCGCTAGGACGCAGCCCCACTCCTCAATGGACCACAATTGAAGAAAAAGAACACATTTTGGAACATGAGCAAGCTCAGCTGAACTCTTGCGGAGTCCAATTGGTCTGCGAGTCAAACACGTCTCCGTTGGTCAGGAACGTCTTCGTCATGCCCAAAAGGCCCCCCCGAAGCAACGAGTGCTACGCGCTGGACAAAGATCTCTCCGGCGCCGGCAGCCCGAGCGATGCCTTGGACCTGGCGATGGCCAAAGCCGAAGTGATGGATGCGCCGAATTGGGCGAACCTCTTGTGCTTTCGACCGATTTCCGAAACGGGGACATAGATATATGACAATCAACATATATGGTTCATTATGTGCATAGATCGTCCCCTCACTCTCTAAAGTAGGGCCAGGTCAGGGGTGGATTCCGACGACGAGGTGGCAGAAACCTGGTTCACCGTGAGGATTGGAGCCGAGCCGACAGGTCTCCTAGTCACAAGAGCAACAGGGTCAACCTGTTGAGTCTCACATCGTCGTTGGGTTGGTCCCCCAAGGCTTGCCATCCTACCGAACCTGCCTTCGCACTCGGGGGCGTCGATGAGGTATGCATTGGCTCACTGGAAGAAGAAGGGAGGACATCATTTAGCTGCATCTTTGCGATCCGATTCCCGATGGTCCAGGACATCATTTTGCGCCGCTGTGGGTCCCAAATCAACCTGACTCAATTCATGTCACATCAACTGTTAGTTCCAATTGGACTTCCACCAGTGTTTTTTGGTGTTGGTGATGGATCACATGATGAAGATCCTCAGGAGTCTTCAGCGGCTCCAGGCGTCTTTGCAGGACCTCACGGCACGAGATGCTGCCAACGTCGTCTGGTCTTTAGCCACCTTGGAGGCCAAGCAGGCGGGGTGCCGCACCTGGATTGGTGCGCCGGTGCCAGCAGGGGTGGGTCGTGATGGATCTCTTGGTGAGGTGGAGGGTGGTGTTTGAGTTTGGAAGCTCGAAGCGGAATTTATGGAATTGGATGGATATCATATGTACATATAATTTCATTAGATAACTGAATGAGTTATATATATATGGTACCCCAAGAAAGTTTACGTTTAACAAGAACAATTGTAATTGCATGTAATTGCGGTGTTTTCGGGCCGGTTTGGGGTGTTTGATATTGAGGCTGATGGTTGGAGATGCAATCTAAATTTAAATATATATATATATTTATTTACACATATATATATATATTCCATGTAATATCGGCATAGAAAGAGGTGAGCAGAGACAGAACAGCAAAGAATCAAGGATTTAGAACTTAGAGTGGATGGAGGTCTGAGGACAGTATGCATGAGTACGAGCACTTCCGCTTACCTGCTGCTTGGTGTGTTTTCATTCTATATAGGTAGGTTCATGTGGGAGTCTGGCATGTGCATGCAAATGTAATACGGAGTTTCTTTCTGTAACAGCTTGCTTGCCAGCAAGTGGCTGCACACTGTGCCAGAACTATACTCAAGGCTTCGGACAAGAACATTATTTGGATCTTTTGGTGAAAGACAAGCTGTTGCCAAATTGGGCAAGCAAGACTTGCCAAAGGTGCCACGAAGGGACGCTAGGGCAGCTGGCTCCATTGAAGATGCGTTCGAAGCCGAGCCAAAATATCGATGCACCAGCTTGTCAGCAAAGGGTTCGCACGCATGGCTTACATCTACTTGTTCAAGGTTATTTTTGTGGGCCAGAAGTGCGCACAGTGCCATCATCTCGTTGGGGTTGGCCGCGAAGTTATGGAGCAGTCTTTGGGACTTTGTGAAATGGGCTGATGCCGAAAGAGATGAAGCCACCTTCGACAAGTGTGACATTTCGGGTGAGAGAGCGGGTCGGTGTCACAGTGTCTCTTGTGCGAGCAGTTGTCAGGTCTCGTCCAACGAGGAAAGCCAAAACGGCAAATCTTTAATTTGGAAGTGAAGTGTGAAATGTCAACATATGGATAGATGCTGGACATTTTGTCAATCAATTTGTGCTGAAAGGGTCGCACACTGCACACCAAAAAGTCATGAAGTCCATGCGCACCAAAATCCATGCAGCTCACCACGAGTATGCACCTTGGGGATGACATGTGGGTGCAAACACGAGAACTCATGAGCACCTACGTTTGGAAAGTTGTTCAGAAGCGATAGGGAAATCATCCGCAAGTTGCAGCAGGAAAAAGGCTTTGAGCTGCTGGTGACTTGTCCATGCTTTCGGCTCTCCGTCAACCACCTTTCCTACTTCCGTTTGGAGCATGCATGACAATGCCTCTGGTCACCGCAATGAGAAACATGGTGAGACATATCTATACCGATATACATATATTATAAGTTTCCACATGGCTACTGTCGTGTGTGTGTTTGTGTTTCTTTGCCTTGAAACCCTTGCCTGCGGTAGGTATGAACGCACACGGACTAAAATGTAAAAGGCACAAACTAAAATCTGGGACGGACAATTGCCCGAGAAAAAAAGGCCCGGGCGGAAAGGCACAGGAAAAAGCGGAAATTTCCGGAATCAACATGCCTTACTGTACTTCGAGTGATCCCCACCATGACAATTCAATTATTTGTTTTCATGCATGGTGAGGAGCATGTTGCCATCGTCGTGGGCTTTGAGGTTTTGGATTTTGCTTGTGGGTCCTCGGGTTTGGGATTGTGAGTTTAATGTTAAGGAGTTCGCATCGGGGTGTCGCCAGGGTCTCCGGTCGGCTGTGTGTTTGTGCATGTGTGTTTCTGATTGTGTTTGTGATTGTGTGTTTTGTGGTTGTTTGTTTGTGGCTGTTCGTTTGTGATTGTGCTTGTGGTTTGTTTGTTTGTGGCTGTGGTTGTGTATTGTGCATTGTGTGTTTGTATTTTGTTTGTGGTCGTGTTGTGTGGTTGTGTGTTGTGTGTTGAGGTCATAGGGCACACTGTGATTTGGCACGTGCGGTTGGGGTCCGGTGGGGAGCACTGCCAAGCGGAACTTGCAGTTGAGGTCCGGCCGGGAACACTGCCAGCCGGAACTCGCGGTTGAGGTGTGGCGGGGAACGCTGCCATCTGCGGGGAATGCTGCCATCCTGCACTTGCGGTTGAGGACGAGGCGGAGAAGGAGGATGGAGGAAGGCAGCTAACATGAAATCTAAAAGCCCCACCTGACAGTGGGGAAAAAGCACAATTCCACTGTAAAGGGCGCCACTTGAAAAGCTTGTGCTTTTGAAGGGCTTGAAAATACGCGGAAACATGAGCCGAAAAATCATCAAAGCCGCCCATCTTGAGATGCCCACCTGTGCCCTTGCATAACAACACGCAGTACAGTATGCAATCATGGAAGGGAAAACCTGGTGGCTCGTGGGCAGTGGCGATTGCTTTTGGAAAGCTGCATTGGTTTATTTTGCGACATAAAGCCCCTGCTGGTCGCGGAAGTTCATACATCCCCCCTGGCCGGGCGAAGTAGACCAAATTGGAAATGAAGAGAATGACAGTGCAAAATTGTTCTGGTGAAACTTGCATGCTACACACGCCCCTGTGATCATCACTCCCGTTTCGGTTCTCCCGATCCTGCAGGAACCGTTGTTTTTGGAAACGGCGGATGCATTGTGCGGGAAGTTGGCGGTATGCGACCCCGTGAGCATCTCCAAAGCTGCATGGGTTCCGTGGCAGGTGATGTTTGGTGCCAATAGGAAAAGAGATCCAACTTTGCGCTGTTTGGAGTTGTGCTTGCGACTTACGGGTGGTCAAGGCTCAGTTTTTTTGTGGGGACGCGCCTATCACACTCATGAAATCTCTGTCAGTGGTGGTTGCTTTGCAGTAGGGTTTGCTCTTCAAGTGTCATGGCAGAAATCCATTGGGGTTTGCTGGTAAACCGAGGCTTTGACCAGCATTCCCAACCGTGATCGGCGCTTGGAACTCTACTCAAAGCTGGCAGTGCCAGTGGTCATGCGCGCAGATTCCTTCCCTTTGGGATCCTCAAAGTGCTCGGAGTCGTTGTCACATGTTTTCCTTCACGGTTTGGGTCTCGGAACTGGAGGGCTTACTCGTACGCGAGGAATAAAAACATGTGTATTGCATTGTGTTGTGCAAATCTCAGGATCCCTCACCATGATTTGCTACTCCTTCGGTGCCTCGAGTGCAGAGAGAACCGGTCTGTTCCCGTTGACCGTGCATTGGAGTGTTGGTTGGATATTTGAGTTTTGGATAGTTTTGGTAAGGAGTAAACGTGGAGGCTACGATTGATTTCAATGTGTGTTCGGGCGATGACAGTAGACCTATTGGAAAATCCTAAAGAGATTCGGCTCAAGAAGGTTTCGATCAGGTTTTTGAAGAGAGATATTCCATGTTGCCAAGTCTGTGGCCGGACATGTGGGGCAGCAGGGTGCGTTCCTGCATGTTTGTGCCATTGTTGTTGTTTTTGCCCGTGATGGTGGACGCATGGACCAATGAACAGTGGGCTGCGACAATCAACAAAGCGGGCTTGCAGAGAACCTTGAGCCAGCAGATGACCAAAGAATTTTTACTAATTTCCCGCGGTACCAAGGTGAGCGAGTTCCGGGCAAAATTGGTCCAAGGCATGTCAAACTTCAACACGACCCTCCATGCCCTCATGGTTGGTGACTTGTCTCAAGACATCTTGCCAGCACCAGACCATCGAGTGGTGGCTGCGTTGCAGGATGTGGAACTCATATGGGTCCCTATGGAAAAGCTCTTGCGGGAGAACATGGACACCGTGAGAAGGGCAGATGGTTCATATGACATGGTCGTGCTGGAGGAACTCAATTCCTTGAATGTTCCTTTGCTCGACACCTCCGATGCCGTGGTGAAGGCTTTGGTGGATTCTGCGCAAGTCTCCGGCGCATCAACCAATGGGTTGGTGCAGGACATTGCTGGGCGGCAGCGGACACTCATCCAACGCTTGGCCAAAGGGATTCTCTTCTTGAGCCAAGGAGTTGCGATGACCTTCAACATGAAGGCATACAGCAACACGAAGATTCTCTTCGAGACTTCTCACGATGGGATCATCCAAGGAGTTCCTTTTGCTGGTCTTCCAGTCTTGACCAGTTTGTGCACGATCCACCAGATGCGAGAGGTGAGTTTCTACTACGAACAGCTGCGGCCGTTACTCACTGGGATCACCAATGCAGACACCCCCAGCACAAGTCAAAAGGCCGCAGATGCAGTGGCTGAAGAGGTGGTGGATTTGGTAGACCCTTTGTTCTCAGCCATGGTTGAGGCCGTGAAACTTTTTGGACATGAAGGCAGCTGCAACCCTGCCGCCCAGATGACTGACAGCGAGTGGCATGCCTTCTTTATGACCTTGGCCAACCAAAGGGTCTTGACCAAGAGGACCATGCAGTACTTCACGCAGGTCGGGCTCAAGGTGGATGTGAAGTCAAGTCAGGTGGAAATCACCGTGAGGCTCTCACAGGCTTCAGGGAACTTGCGCGATCTCATCGAGGGGAACAAAATCAAGGGCATCCCAGCTCCACCCTCACAGGCCATTGTGGATGCCCTCCTATCAGTGGACGCCACATGGAACACCTTCGAGAGTGAGTTGGAAGCTGCTGTTCACCTTGAAAGCGTCTCAGAGATCATCATGGCCCGAGTGGATTTGTTGGGCGAGCGGATTTTGCACACCCTGGAAAGTGTGATGCACATGGGGCTGGACATGGTGACCAACACCACGATCCCAGCCTATGTCATTGACACGTCCTTCGAACAAGTACTCCTGGCCTCCGAGATGATGCAGAGCGCAGTTCTGTTGAACTTTGGCCAAGATGTCACCAGCAACTGGGATTCTCTCAATGCATCTCGAGCCAGCTACACCAGCCATATGTGGAAGCTCTTGGAGGGTGAACCTGGAAAAAGCGACCGGGTCACCTGGTTTGCAATTGGGGGGACAAGCGTCTTATGGCCTAGAGTGAGTGATGTTCCTTAAGTGGCCGAAGATGTCCCGGTGAATCCCCTTTTTTGGCAAAAGATGTCCCGATTCCTCGAGTCAAGGTCACCAATGTTTGCCTGGTGCAGCAAGTGAAACGTGCCAATGATCTCTATAGTCGCTTCGAGCAAGCAGCGCTGTCGGTGGGCCATGGGAATTCAGGAGCCCTGACGGACTTGGTGCTGCTGAGTCCTTTAGCCTTGCAAGCCTTGGAAGTCTCGGCGGCCACCTGGCGGTGATTTTTCCGGAACGAAATGGAGAATCATGGAGACTCTATGTTAGGGACTAAGACTAAGACTAAGCTGGTTCTTTATTTGCGTCCTTTTTGGATATGCACTGGTTTGAGAGCATTTGGGCCCAACAACAGTTACTTTGAGGAAGCTGGATGTCCCATTCTATCCCATTCTATTGTTCATTCAAGTCGTTTCACTGGGTGTAGTTCACCCTAGGGTTCCAACCATATATCCTCAGAAGGTGGTTAGACTCTTAGACCTCCTAAAACTCCACCCCAACCATTTCCTCAGGAGGTAGGCAGAAGCCCTGGGGTGAGTACCAAGGAGTCCCTGTCGACTGGCAATGGCAGCTGTGGCAATGGCTCGCTGTTGGCGGATGAATGGATACAGCTTCACCGGGAGGCTGCTGTCATGGCCAGCTTAAGCCAAGAGATTACCGGTGAGTACATCCTGTTGAAGCAGGGTGAGAGGCACAACAGTCAGCGGCTTGATCTACTCGTTGAAGACCTCGATGCTTCTCTTCGACGCATCATGTTCGGATCCTTTGAGCCGCCGATTGCGGCGCCATCATCGCAGGAGAAGTTTGATCACATGCTGGGACACTTGGCGCCTGCTGTGACAAACCTCAAGCAGGCGATCTCAGGCATAGACATCACAGCTGTCCTCAACGCGGAGCACCAATTGATGCTTGATGCTGAGACACTACAGGACCAATACTTGACGGGGGCGACTACAATGGATGCACAATGGCCTGGTAAACGGGTGGATGTGGCCAGACGCCAGGTGAGCAATGGTTCAAAGTGGTTTGTCGCATGTGTTGAAAGGTTGGACGCACAGTCTCCGAGTCTCCGAGTGTAAGTAGCGAACACACACACACATATATATATATGTATATATATATTATATTATCATATATATTTTTATATTTAGTCTGATAGTTGTAAGGTTGCCTAAGCCCACATGTTTTTTTCTTCTTTGATTCTTTGGCCCTCAGCTCTTGCTAGAAGTCGGCTTCAACCTCTTTCCTTGTGAAAAGGGTTGGTAGATCCACTTGTCTGCTGCCGCCATGCCCACACGTCTTCTTCAATTTGCTCGAAGCTGCAAATGTCTGCTCGCTGCAGATTGCATGGCTTCCACAATGGATACAGCTCACTTTGTTTCCTTTCCTCCACAAGGAGTGGCTAAGGTGCCCTTGCCATTGTGGAGGTGGAGTCCAGGCTGCATTCCAACATGGCCTTCTGGCAAACAAACAAAGCTTGTCAAGGGCTGTGGCGAAGGATCATCTGCCCACAGCTGGCACAACAAATGTAGTTCTTTTCAACGACAAGTTGTGACCGCCTTGATCTTCAAGAGTACCAGTCAATGGTTTCTGCTTTGCTTCTCACACCTTCCTTTGATCCACCCTTGGTGGCCGGAGTGCCAGCACAAGGGCACACTTCCGTTCTGAACTGCACCAACTGATCGTACTTGTTCTGCATGTTTGCACGGCAGTGACAAGCTTTGCACTGAAGTCCTGCTCCTTTGGGAATCCACTCATGCCCTTGCTCAACACCATTGTTGACTAGGGAGGCATAAGCGTCTTTTTCCTTTGCCTGGCGGCGTCCCTTTTTTCCTTGGCTGTCTCTTTGGTGATCCTGGTGTAGTGGTGTTTGTCATTCAACATGGTTTTCACCCTCTCAATCGCAGCTTTGGCCACTTCCTTGTACTTGACATCCTGATTGGCGAAATCACGCTCAAGCTCATCATGTTTCAATGCCAAAGCTCTCCCCTTAGCAACCTTGACTTGGTGGCATCCAGGAATCTGCTTCTCAAGGACCACCCTCCTAAAGGGATCTCTTTCAGCTGCTTCTGCGACACATAGATGGGGCGGATTCTAGCCCGCTGGTCCACTGTCACCAAGCAGCTCAAATCCCAAAAAGTTGACATGTGTTTCTGTTTGTTCCAAGCTTCAAACGCGAGTGCTGACATGACATGAATGCACACATCATCTGAGAGATCAACAAAATGTCCAGCAACTCTTAACGCATAAAACCAAGCTCTCTGGAACGACTGCTCATAGGGAAGAATGGCCGTGATGCACCCAAGTCTGTGCAGCTCACCGTCCTTGAGAGTGTGGTGAACAACAGCCATCACAATCCGGCGAATCCTCTGGTCTGAGCTTGTGGCGGCCACTCCGACAGACAAACACTCTTTTTTCTGCAGAGGAAGTGGGTCATGCATCGACCACGAACCCCAAGTTTCCACAGAGGCCCCCCCTGTGGGAATGCTGTACTGCGGATGGCTAACCAACCCTTGAGCCCAGAATTCCAAGTTGATGCCATGGGTGAGTTCAAAGACCCACTCCTCCGGCAAGGGTTTGAAATGCTTATTGGTCTGGGCATAGCCACAAGACATGGACTACCGTGGCAGGCTCATGAGAGTGTGGGCATCCAATGTATCTCCCTGGCTGGCTATCACTCAATTTCATGAACAAGGATCCCTGATGCCATGTGAGAAGTGCCGTGGAACAAAGCATGCTTGTTCAGCCTTTGCACCCGTTCCCACACCTCCGATTCTTTCAACTGCTTTCGAATGCTCAACCAAGTATCATCAATGTTGATTTCCCAATCTGCTCCTCCATTATGACCAGGCTTGTGCCATTTGTCATGACCTTCGTGCGCCCAGCCATGTTCTCGCAGATAGCATTGAAGAGCTGCCATCGGGCCCTTCCCATGGCCTCATGACCCCACTTGATGCCCGCCATGATGCTGCCTTTGAAAAGTCTGAGTTTCACGGCTTTCCAGGGTACGCGGAGTTTTGCATCTTCTTACTTTTCCGCACTCCTTTGGCACGTCGATTCTTCATGGTCTGATGCGGCGCAGCCTGCCACTGGTGGAATCACACCCCAGGTCTCTCATGACATCATGAATTTGAGCTCCTTCAGCTGGCAATGCATCTTGTAGCAACCTCTTT